CTCGGGATCTCTTATGATTTATTGATGCGCCAGGAACCTGCTGCCGATCGATTGCTCCAGACGCTGATATTCTAATGTTTTGAGTTGATGAGTGCGAATTTCGATCGATTAAAGATTCAATCCATCTGTCTGACAGCGCCCATCTGTGGAGGCAAGAGGATGTTCCTCGGAAGTTTCGGCTTTGCTGTTCTTTGGGTCTTCGACTTGTGGTGGGACAAACAGAGGCTTCAGAAGTGATGGTGGAGGAATCGATGCTGCGATTGGGATCAATCAAGCGCTCTCCCTCGACAGATCCCTCTGTCGGTCTTTTACCTCATTCACAGATATAGTTCATCGAAGAGGGTTCGATTGATACAGGAAATTTGTTCCAAACCAGAAGGTCGAGATATATGTAGTCCCGATACCTCGACGGTCTCATCATCGAAAACAATGACGAGCTGAAGGAATAATCGGGAATTCTATAAATGCCCAAAGTGTCCGGACTATGGATAAGCAACTCGTACGATCAGATCCGGCGCTGCTATTCAGCTGTCTGAGCTCCTACGTCTTAACGCTCTGAGGGCGACTAGAACACAACGCCCGAAATCGAACCATCAGATTTCTGCGATTCGCAAGGGGGGGAAGTGAAAATATCCTGGCCGACCATATACTTGCTTCCTAGTGAATCAGTCCACCTCAATGTGACTATGCGAATCCACACGTGCATTTGGGGTTCTCAATCAGTAAAGGGGTGGGTAGCTTGTAGCTTCTGTACTGGAATCTCGCCATGGAGCCGCAAGTTTGCGTTATCTCAAAGGGCTTGAATCAAGGTTATCCGCACCTACGAGGCGTCGATACCCCGGATCGGTATATTCTTGTAGAGAGAATCAACATATACGTCGATAATACATCGGAGGGTTAGACACAACCGTCGAGTTAATCATGACTTGATGATTCATGACGGGGGCTAGATTTTGTACACCTGATGTCTGATGTTGATTCTAAGGATTTAAGAATCTCTGGCATCATGGACAGAGCAAGCGAAGCTCGATGAGATAGGAGTATGGTGTTAGGAGTTGGTATGCATATGTATCGAATGCATTCGAGTGAGCGACTGGAAGCGCCCTGCGTGTATGTGTCATTCCAGGAGCACAAATCGACGACGAAGTTCAGATGAGTGGACTGCCACAGTGAGTTTTCTGTCCTCCTTGAAACCAGGCATTCCCCCTGGTCCGTATTCGACAGCCGTCGCACTGATCCTCATGAGGAGTCTCGAGTGTATCGCAAGTCAAAGATCGGAATACATGTGGGTCACCTGCAGCTTCGGGAGAAACGGGTCGCAAAATATATCGACGGGGAAGATAGAATGTTCCATCCACGTGAAGAATGACACAATCGACGTGAATCCAATCACTTCCGAATCCACTCCCTCATAGGTGGGATGTTCGACGCGGAAAGCTATGATCTCGAATTACGTTTGGGAGACATCGTTCTACTGTCGCTCTTGGGATGTTCAATAATTTTCTTGTGTGAGTGCTCCATTTCTTCCACCGTATGTCTCCAGGATCCTCTTCTGAGTTTGGCGATCCTCGATGCTTGAAAATCTCGATGCACTCGGCTGTACCTCTACGTGACTCCTTCTTCTGCAGCTAACCAATTAACCGATCCCATCCTCACTGAGACGCTACTCTTTTTCGGCCTTGGTACGGTCACCTTGGTGGTCGTAGAGCTTCTAGTGCGATGTGTCAAACACTTCCAACCGGAAGCTGACTCGAACTATCAACTGATGATAGCGGTGATCCTCACTCCGATGCTTTTCTACCCAGCCGGTGAGAATCTTCGCAGCGTATTCTTGCTCGGAACTCGAGGTTTGAACCAGAGGTCTGCCCCTGACCCTCTCCCTCTTTGATGATCCCTTCTCACTTTTAATGATCACTTCTAACTTTTAATGATCACTTTTGATGCAAAAGTACCGTATCCGACAGCTCCAGCCATTGTGAGCCGAAGTGTATATCCTGGAAGTATCGCTTTTTCCGTGGTTTGGACGATGTTAATCCTCTTGGAGACGGCCTCCACGAAATGGAGCCACAAATCTGAAAATAAAGAGAGTCCTGTTTGAGTTCTGTCGTCGTTATGATCCTCATGGATTCTCTCGTATATCTGGCTCCGATATTTGTCGATATTTCGCTCGTTCTCCAGATCGATATCCATGAATTTCGAATACACGATAGACCCGCTCCGGTTGTCCTGCGATGAAGACCTGAGGACTCGCGACTCGAGTGGCGGAGCTATACCGAATTCCGTGAGAGGCCTCTGAAGCAAATCTGATTTCTTGAAGTCCTGCCTGTAGAGTATCCGAAGACTTCCTCTCAATAAGAGGAGACAATTCATCATTTCGAAGGTTCTTCCCTTGTTGATGGGTGAATCTTGATCTTCAGCCCGCAAAGCTCAATTGAACAGTTTACTTGTTTCGGAGATCTGAATTCCTTGGAACTCATCCTGATCTGCTCGACTACGGTTGCGATACGTCTGTCCCGAATGCCTGCTTCCGGGCCGCGGGGACCCTGAATCCTGATCAAGCTTGCGTCATCTAGGGTCCCGTAGACGGCCACTTGCAACGCATGAGGAAAACATAACTGATGGTGAAGAGGCTTGGGCCAGACGATGCCATTAATCAATTTTCCTAGAAGCCGCATCACGCATCACCAAAGCTCCCGAAACGAGATCGATTCATAAGTTCGAATTCTTGATTCTAATTACATTGTGAGGCACTCCTATGTTATACGAGCGCGCGCGGCGAGCTTGTATGCTCAGCAGAGACTTACCGTCAGAGGTTAATCGCCGTGATGTCTTCTAAGCGAAGACCAGGAACTTCCAGGGTAGCTTGCAGAGCTTCAAGCAGATCGATTGCTGTTGTGTCCTTCACCTGCCTGATGAGATCAAATTGATTCGTGCTGAAAGTCGGGATCGTTTGTGGAGTACGAATCTTTTCCCCGAGATACGATCCAGAGTTCGATGACCATCCGTCAGCTGTCAGACTGAAGGTGGCTTTCGACCCCTTCAGAGCATCGAAATCTTCCGTCAAGATCTTCTCTTTGCGTTTCGCTTCTCTCTCCGCTGCATGGACGACATTCTTTCGGTTCAAGCACCCGAAGCCGGCCCTCAGGAATACGAGCTTCACCGTTTCGTTCTCGGAAGTGTTCGGCGGAATACTTGTGGTAGAGAGAAAGGTGCCGACCGCCTGGCCTTGGAAGTCCTCAGTTGTTTCCTCCATCGCCGGCTCCAAGGCGGAAACAGTCTTCCAAACGCATCGGTGTCTCCCTCCTCCCTGGAGCCCGTTCAAGCGATGATCGTGACATGGAAGCTAGCTTTCGCATGGGATAGGGTGTTTCCGCATAGCTTGCAATCCCTGGTCCTTGTCTGTGGTTTTCGTCATCTTCCGGTGGCTTCTCGATTGCTTCTCCGGGGTCATGATCGGCAGAAAGAATCGTCCTACTTCTAGCAATGTTTGAGATCAAGGAGCTGGAGTTCAGCCATCCTCATTAGTCATCAGCAAGGTCAGTGACTCATATAGTTATTTACGTACGTATGTATGTAGATACAGCTTCTACTTGAGCCTTATTCGCCGAAGCGGGAACTAGTTCCCTGTTTTCGGACTCGAAGCCCGATTCCGATCGTTATCTATCAAAGGCATAAGTTCTCACATTCCGATTCAGATACCGTTTCGGAGTCAGAGTGAGGAGTCGCGCGCGTAGGCTTTTTTGGAACTCTCATCCGTAGTCTCCATTTCTTGCCGTTCGTACCCGTCGCGATGAGGAACTTCCGAGCCAAAAGAAATTCATATTTTAAAAGTTCAATCTGGTGAGGAGGTTCTCGTGGGGAGGCCGCCAGGCTCCCACAATGGTTCCCGATCCAATCGAGATTCATCGGAATGGAGACTCCGCTCAGAACCGCGGGGAGCTTCGATCGGTGCGGATGGTGCCGCGGATAAATGGCACTCACTGCCCCCGATCCAGTATGCCGAATATGAGGAGTGAGAGGCATACCGTACTCAGATTCTGACCCACGCGACGGGTAACACCTATTCAAAGCCTACCGCGCGTGGAACGTCCTGGACAAACGCGCCTTCAAGCAACCGGAGTCCGTGAACCCAGTCCTGCAAAGTCTGTTCCGTAGTTTCACTCCCATGTCGAGACCTTGCCTGACCGGAGACAACCTCCCCTCCACGTTTCATACGGATTCCTCCGGAGCTTTCCGCGAGGGTTTCCGAGAGAGGTCCTTGTCGGCGGGGGGAGAGGGGTGAAGAAGGGTCCAAGGCTTGAACTCCAAGCCCTCTTCAAGGGTACTTTACTAGGTGCCCCAATCTACTCAAAAGTGAGCAGGGAAGAGGACGTCGAGATTTCATAAAATCGTATACGACTAGAAAATTGCGAAATTCGGGGTGAATTTGGAGGTTACGAGTTTCCGGAAGAGGGACTCCCAATTTGATCCTCCGCTCCATGGCTTCAGAGGTGTGTGGAGCTGGGAGACTCCGGATCGGAAATCAGCTGCTGCTGAGGGTCTCAGCCGGACCACAAATATACCCTCATCCCATCGTCGGTCCGCTTTGTCATGAGAGCCACTACGGCTAGAACGTTAAAACGACGTGATTTCGACGTCATAATCAGCAGTCTGGACTCCGACCCAGGCAGCTGATGCTTCCATCGTGATTTCTTGATCCTTGAGTGAATTTCCTGGAATTTAGAATATCCCTTCCTCCCGATTCCGACATCACCGACAGACTAGGAGCAATGCTCCCTCTCAATTACTCGAGCAACCGCCCCGATTGTTCTTCTGGCTAACTATGTCAGGACATGCGAGAGGTTTTTTTTCGATCGCTGGCCAGTGAGAATCACCGAGTGCTCACTCAGTCAGTATTATTGTCTGGGTGACCGCTCGCTACCGCCGCGCCACGGCTATCACGTCGTGATTCCGGAGAGAGGGGCGCAGTCCCTCTCTCTTGCCTGTGACAACGCTGTCAAAGCAGTGCCGTGTCTGCGGGCGCACGATATTCGGCGCTATAACGTTCGCGTCATCGAAGCGGCAAGCAAGTGCAGCGACTACTCCGACGAAAGAAAGGTGAGTTGCTCAGCAACTTTCTCGCCGCCGCTCGAGAGCCTTCCATCGGCCAAAATCAAAATCTAATCTCTCGCCGCGGAGTCGAACGATGGATCTGCTGCGCCGCTGCGGCGGCACCGCTTGGAAAACAACAACAGCGGTGGATGCTTCGCGTAAATAATTCAGCTTTTCAAGAAGCATTGATCCGCGTGTCGGTGGTGAAGTAAATCTCCCTCGCTCCCGATATCGGTCTGTTGCTGATCGTGCATGCCACGGCCCCCAGAGCTGGCTGGCTGGCAGCCTTCCAGCATAAGGCTCGTTCCTCTACGGACGAGGAAAACCCTCAAAACTACGACGGCGGCGACGGCATCGTTTCCACCGGCCGGCGAAGAGCGGCTGACGGGTCTGCCGATCCCGAACGAATCACTGGGCAGAAGAATCAGCGGACGATTAGATTTTGAAATGTCTCGTTCGTTTGCGAGCGTTCATCTATGGAGGAGTCCTACCTTAGGCGAACTTTGCATTCTCATTCCATTCCGCTATGAGTGCTCGTCAGATATTTCCCGGGCTGCCAGAAAAGAAAGTCCGTCTGTGTGCCGCGAACACTGGTCGCGCTGTGTACTTCGTTCGAGGCGTACCCAGAAAGAGAAAATGAAGATTCGCGGACGAGAGCTCTGGTTCATCGACCCTGCGTTGCTTTTTCCCGGACGGCGCACAGATAACAAAGTCTCCGCGAATGTATGCCACTACTTTCTGACTGTCTGGGACCCTTGCCGGTTTGACCGTATACCAGAGTTTCTGAACTCTTCCCAGACGTCCCCATCCGTCCATGGTTCGATCCCGCAGGTGAATGGGGCAACATCGGAGTCACAATGTTAGGCATTCGATGTGATCGAAGCGGGAAAGTCGTTTGACGTCTTCAAGGAAGGAAAACCTGAACATTTGCATGGTGCGAACGAAATTTCCGCGGCCTCCTCTACATTGATAGATAACTTTCTTGTTTATCGAAAATAATCGCAACGACGATGAGTGAATACCCGTCTGCCGAGAGGTCTGTTTCCTCACCTCGAATCGATGCCAGATGGGGCGTCAAATTTTGTGCGTTCCCAAGATTCTTGGATACTTTGTCTCCCCAAATGGGCTACCTGGGGTGTAAGCATGGAACGTATCGTGGGGTGGAGGATGTTTCAAAAACTCGAGGAAGCGTCTCGTTTTGAGCGGAGCTCTTAGAAGCTACCCCATGCTTTTGGTATGGTCCGCGATGAGATTGAAACACTAGTATCGTAGAGACGGAAAGCGAATGGAGACGCAAGAAACGGCGAACGGTGGGCGTGGCCAGCCATTTCTTCTCAGTCGATTTGCTAGCCTGTTGACAATTCGGGATAATAGTCCATTCGAGTGAGCGATTGAAGCACTGCTATCCGAATGAGCAATGCAGCCGACGTTGCGGCATTCGCTTCGGCTCCGGTCGATCGTCAACCAGTTTGACCGCTGAAATTCGCCGGCTGGCAGCTTCGAGTGACACAGCATATTTTTTCCCGCGAGAGTGGATCAAACGTATCGCTAACAGGTCGGTGAGAGCTCACGGAGATAAAACATCGAAACTGATGGAATCATTATTCGGCGCTTGATTTTCGGCCAACAAACCCGTTGGCTCGATCCGAAGGATCCGCGTATCTAAATCTAGTGTACGCGATGATCAACGTTTCTGGTTTTCATACGAATCCAAGGTTATTCAAGCCCGCCGATTGACGGAGAGAGCCAACCATCGTCCGGTTGGACGTGAGCTTCACTTTCGGAGTGATGAGAGATGAAGAAAGTGACAGACCACGTCGTCATATGACGCCATCGTACTCGTCGGGAAGGGGGTACGGTCCATATTTGTTCTGCCTGATCCTGCCCTCATGACGTCACCTTGAGAACTGAGAATTCTCATGGTGGGCTCATTAGCATTCGGGGATTGTTCCGCGAACGAAAATCCTCATGCTATTGGAAAACTCATCTTATACTGAGGGAAATTTCGATAATACGTGCTCGAGGTTTCCTTCAATTTGAATTAGAATGGCATACGATGCTCCGAAGCTCACTGACGAGGTAAACTACAAGAGTTCGATCGGAGAACAAAAATACATTGCGACGTGGGAGACGAACTCTCTCACGCGTGGGGGAATCTGGATTCCTCCTCTTTATTCGGAAGACAACGACAGAGCTGTACACTCGAGAGACTTATCGATGGCCTGCGACACGATTCGGGGACTAGACCTTGTCAAGACTTCCGAGGTTTTTCCACTGTAATGTCGTACGGTGCAATCGCTGTTCGGCTCTTCTGTCAACGACGTGCTCGGACTCGTGGCTTGACGGTTCCATTGCAAGCATGCTTTTCCTCCTTGCTGGTTTCAGTGTATCTGAGAGAGCGTTCGGGTTCGCGACTGCTTCTTTTTCTTGCGGTAGCATAGAGTCTCGGACATAGGACAGCAATTTCCAGACCAGTCCTCTGTTCGGCAGTGGGGGCAGAAGCTGACTCCGACGAGCGCACTCTGTCAACTTCAGGTCACCGTCTCTCGTTGATGAGATATGGGAGGGAGCAGAGCGCTGATCGGCAAGAAAAATTGAATAGCAATGCTCCGCGCCGAAAAGTGATTCCGTGAAATAGTTTCGCTTATCACGAGGCTCAAAGACGTTGCTCAGAAAATTGATATCAACCTTCACCGGTATGTCAGATCGGCTGCGGGCTCTTCCGCCCACGTCGATTTTCGCGACGTCGTCGTGAGGGGAGTCGAGGAGTTGGGTCGAATTGAGAGTCCCCCGGAATCAATCGATACCGTACTCCACTTCTCACTTGTATGGATGGTTCGGCGTCGGGTGCCGGGGTGCGTCGCGTTTTTCTGAAGCAGAGGCCTCATGAAACTGGTTCTGCCGAGCGACAGTACGTGGCAACTAGACCAGCGAGCGAGCCGATCAAACCGCCAGAAATGTGGCGGAAAAATCACATCGAGCTTGGTTGAAGCTGGATTCCGACCGTCAGCTGCATCGTATACTCGGCCCACTTGAAAAGTTCTTCCATCGGAGCTTAGGATGGGGATTCATCTCTAACTCCCACGGTGCCGAGGAGTACGACCTACGCAGGTATCCAGCGGCATCGACAGGAATCTGGGTAATTCTGGGAAAACTTGAAGCTGTACCCCAGTCGGCGTATCCTCGGACCGGTATCGTGGAATACCGGTCGGATCCCTAGGATGACAAAAAATGACGCAGCAGTTTTTCCGTCGATGAATGGACGGGATATTACCGTCGAGCTTCTCGGAGGAATCGACACCGAAGCAGTCTATCACCGCTATCGATAGTTTTCAGAAGCCCACTTTTTCTTCTGAGAGACGGAATTTTCCCTCCAGGCGCTCTGTTACTCTAGCTGAGAAAGTATTCCGGCTCGTGACTGCTCTTTAGCTCTAAATGGATCGCTCGGCTTACGACTGCGTAAAGTTCATGCGACCACTCTCAAATCTTGGATTCCGCGCCGTACTTCTCCCCGGAATGAGAGCCGTGGAGTAAATATTTGGTTTCGAGAACTTTATAAGTACTAGTAGCAGCGCCGGATATGGCCTTTGGGTGAAACGGAATATTCAGTGCTCGTCGACTTGCCTGGCAATACGCCGGACCGGCCAGCGTGTCGCTTGGGCAACGACTAGTGACTCACAATGCACAATTGGCGGGGAGTCATGCGAGCGTTCATACAGAAAACCGGAGAGGAACACGAGTCACTCAATGCATGAAGGAAACAGTTGGTTTGGGGCAGCACTCGATTGGAGCGACTGCGATAGTCTTTTTCGGTACATGGGAAACGTTTGCGCTCGTCTGGAGCTGAAATTGTGTCTATATCATTTCGGCTCAATTTGTCATTCTGGCAACGATCTCCGAGTTTTGCTCTCCGGATCGAAGCGGAATGCTGAAGCCATTTCCCGAACGAGAGAAGCGTTCAGCAACTCTAGTGCCAACGTTCCTCTCCTTCGTGATGAGCAGCTCTCGATCGGTGGAAGGATTTCGCAAGAGCAGGAGATGGTGGGTCCGCGTCCGCATTCCCAAGCTCGGCCTCAAATGCTCCTCGCCCCCGACCTGTTTGGAGGGCTTTCGGTTCGGGAGTTACGTACCGGCGCTCGGTCGGCCCTGACTCCCGAGAGTACGAATTCCCTGACGGGAATCTCTGTTTCTTCACGGTATCAAATCCTTCCGAACGGATTACGGAGAATATGGGTGGCTTTTGATTCAAGTTTTGAATAACTCATCACCGAGCCACCTTCTGAGCAATGCGACATCAGCGTGCTCTGTAAGCGTCGAATTGACATCACGAGGTGACCTCTCCTGGAAGATTCCTCATGTTGTCGGATATGTGGCTTCTAAGGAGGATCGCAGACTCGTTTTTGAGATCCAAGACCATGATTTTCATTAGCTCTAGCACCACCAGTGAAGAAATAGTTGAGAATTCGGGATCGAGCTATTTTCGTCGTTTTTGTGCAGCAAGGATGACTTGTCGAGCTCCCAGGGAAGGCATCATTCGAGATTTTGATGATCATTCATTATCAATAATCGTGAAGCTGTCGAATTCGCTCACAGAGCGTCCTAGCTCCATGCATAGGTGAGCGAGTGTTCCTCCAAGGAATTCCAAAGCCTTCCGAAGATAAGCCGTTGTTTCAATCGGGTCTCCGATGCCAATCATCGATAGAATATCGAATCACATCTCTCAATCCCATCGAGACGCTTTGTCGAAGCAATGTCGTCTGCGCTGTCAGCCGGATCGAGCTGCAATGTTTGATACTGAGCCAGAAGAGCAGGATGTTGTTTCACTTCGGATTCGGTAATGGGTCGACTCAGAGCAGTGAGGATAATTCTGTGAGCGCTCGATTCATTTAGATTCGTTGAATATTTTCTTCTGTTCGTGAGCGTTGGCTTCGCGCCATGCAGAATTTCTCGACTCGTTTATCGTCACGCAAAACAGACGAGGGAACTTATCTTCGCCAAGAGCAAATCGCATGGGAGCCAGTCGGGAAATGAGGACGGGGAAAACACGATCGAAAGGCACACCACGGAATTGTCTCCGAAGTGCTTCCATTGAGTCGGGAGCGCCGGTTCGCCCGCGGTGTGAGAATGACTCGAGAGAATCCTGAGCTTCCGATTGATATCGACACGTCTGGAGTGGAATAGATCCACTCGATGGGGAGTCGTTCCGCGATTCTCCCTCTTTTCGATATTGTCATAGACATTCCCGAATATTAAATGCTCGAGGTCAATGGGAGGCGTTCGCCTGGCTCATGTCTGATATTTGTCACGTAACCTGCGATGCTCTAGCGGGTACACGTAGCCGCTGGAAGGACGAGCTGCCGGACGATCGGGGGGTTCTGGGAGGGGAAAGGGGGAGCCGGTTTCGTTCAGGCTGGCACGTTTGACCCAATTCTTGAAGAGGGTCTAGGACGTTCCGGAGGGCTCTGTCGCAACCTACGTAATTGATCTCTCGACGCGTTGTGAGATAAGACGTCACGGAACAATGTGAGAGTTTGGCCGTGCCGAATGGCTTGACCGGGATGCTCGTTTCCACTAAGCAGCTCTTCGAGACGAACCCCCGCTCTCTCTGACATTCTCCGGCTTTCTATAGTACATATACGGCCGAGAAGAATCTCTGCATCTATTCGATTCTGGGTTGGACTCCGGATGTCGAACGTCCTCAGAGGCGTCGACGACGATATTTTGTGATACCACCGATCGCCGAATTTTGAATCGGAGCCAACTTACGCTAAATCAGTGTGCGGTTCCGCGTGATTTATCATCGCGATTCCTCGAGGCTCCGACAACTACTACTATAATGGGAGCGATCCTGCCATCGGAAGCGTCCGGGCTCCGGCTGCCGTACCGGGGAGGATTCGTAATTTCTCGAGATCCCGACGTGGAGACTGACGAGAGAATCTTCTTCAGGATCTGCTCGTGCGATGCCGAGTTTACGAGCTGTGCCCATTCTTCCCCCGACCTGGGATATTCCGAGCGACCCCTGGTTTAATGGAATTTCCTTTTCTCTTTCCAGATGGCCTCCCGAGACAAGTGCACGGATCAGCTTAAGGAATTCAAGGCTTGTCCCTCCAGCGAGGTGATTATTTTTCTTATACATTATACGGCCTAGACAGCTGGATGCCGAGTGCATGATTTTATAGCTTTCAATCTGCTCCCCGCTCCATTCCGAGCGTTCTGGATACTTCCTAGCCCCTTCGACGGAGTCCTCTTGGAGCCAGATGCAACATATGAAAATTCTGTCCGAGGTTCGAGAGGATTCTGGGAATCAGGATTCGCGCGTCGATATCAGTCGGAATTCAGAGGAACCGCGCGGGACCCGTCTCGGGGAGCGGCGGCTGTTCGCACTGTTTGGGTCAGGGAATGCGGGAGATTCCGCACGAGGACTCGCTGTCGACGGAGTCGTTGACGAGAGCCCCGAAAATAGGAGGAAAAAGAGACGGAAGGACGGAAGGATGTTGCGCCTCGCAGAGCTTTGCAGTCGGATCGCAATATCGTGTCGGATGATATCGTCGGAACATGGCAAATAGACCGACATAGACAGCAAACAGTGGGTGCATCGAAAGATGTATGGGTTGCCTCTTGCCCAGAGAGTAGGCTTGGCGTTGTTGGCTGCTGTCGTCCTTAGTGACGAGCCAAGTGTCCTGGCAAGGACTCCGGCGAGGACTGCTTTCAGTCGGCCATCGGGGGACGAGCTCTTGCCGTGGCTTCAATGAGGAACAGCCCCAATTGTGCGAGTACTGCATTCAATGCAATCGTTATTGAATGGTGGCCCGTTCTCTCGAGCTCGACCTCTTTGTCCGTGTCTCTTCCCGCACGGCGAGCCAGACGCTAGACAACAACCACGCTACATGCCGTGATCTCTTCCTAATTGAGACTTATCTGCGAGAGCCGCACCCTCATCCGATGGGAGTTCGTGAGAGCGTGAAGCTCCCACTTGCGTCACGTCTCTGTCCCAGAGCTCTATCTTCTCCACGTATTTTCAAACGAAGCTTCCCGATTGCAGAAAGAATGCCAGTTGACCACCGGTCACGGTTGTCCCATCGGCGACAAACTCAACATCCAAACGGCTGGAAAGCGTGGCCCGGCTCTGCTCCAGGACAACCATTTCATCGATGAAATCGCTCATTTTGACAGGTGAGGGACGAAGAGTCACATACAAGTCACGAACACAGTGGCTCTTTCCAACATTTCGCAAACGGATCCGTCACATATTTGAGAATGGGGGAAGGGGAAAATCATCTGGACTTAGGTAATCTCGATTTTTCCAGGGAACGCATCCCCGAGCGCGTGGTACACGCTAAGGGAGCCGGCGCTTTCGGTTACTTCGAGGTCACTCACGATATCACGAAGTACACTAAGGCCAAGGTGTTCTCGAAAGTCGGAAAGAGAACTCCCCTCGCCGTACGATTCTCCACCGTCGGGGGTGAATCCGGCTCGGCCGACACCGTCCGTGATCCTCGAGGATACGCTGTGAAGTTCTACACCGAAGAAGGGAACTGGGATATCGTCGGGAACAACACGCCCGTCTTCTTCATCCGGGATCCGTTCCTCTTCCCTAACTTCATCCACACGCAGAAGAGGAACCCCCGCACCCACTGCAAGGACCCCGACATGTTCTGGGACTTCATCGCCCTCCGACCCGAGACCACCCACCAGGTCCTGATTCTGTTCTCCGACCGGGGCATCCCCGACGGATACCGTCACATGAACGGCTACGGCTCGCACACGTTCAAGTTCGTCAACGACAAGGACGAGTTCTTCTACTGCAAGTTCCACTACAAGACCGACCAAGGAATCAAGAACTTGCCCGTCGACAAAGCCGCTGACCTCGCCGGCAACGATCCCGACTACTCGATCAGGGACCTCTACAACGCCATCGAGGGCGGCAAGCCTCCGTCATGGACTCTTTACGTGCAGATCATGACCCCTGAGCAGGCCGAGAAGTACGAGTTCAATCCCTTCGACTTGACGAAGGTCTGGTCCCACGCCCAGTACCCTCTCATCCCCGTGGGTAAGATCGTCCTCGACCGCAACCCCACGAACTACTTTGCCGAAGTCGAGCAGATCGCTTTCTCTCCGGCCAATCTGGTTCCCGGGATCGAGACCAGCCCCGACAAGGTCCTCCAAGGACGTCTGTTCTCGTACAACGACACCCACCGTCATCGTCTCGGAGCCAACTACCTCCAGATCCCCGTCAACTGCCCCTACGCCACCCGCGTGCGTAACACTCAGCGTGACGGTCCGATGTGCATCAACGGAAACCAGGGCGCCGCCCCCAACTACCACCCGAACTCGTTCGGCAGCCTCGCCTGCGATCCCCAGTACAAGGAACACTTCAGCAACAAGTTCGTCTCGGCTGATATCGACCGTTGGAATTCCGAGGATGAAGACAACTTCACCCAGCCCGGAATTTTCTACAAGATGTTGTCCGAAGCCGAGCGGGATCGTCTCTCGTCCAACATTGCGGGTTCGCTGAAGGACGCCCAGGAGTTCATTCAACAACGTGCCATCAAGAACTTCACATCGGCTCATCCTGAGCTCGGGGCCGCCGTTCAGGCCAAGGTCAAGGCTTTCGTAAGTGGAACCAATTCTTTATCGGAACGATGGATTTCTTCTCCTGTTTGGGATATCTTCTCCTAATATCGAAAGGTTCAGGGTGACCGGTCATGGTTCAAGGTGAAGGTATTTCGCGACGTCCCGCGTTTGAGTCGCTTATCGCATCTGACTCTCGATGGCTCTCACGGTTGGGTGTGCCTAGAACCAGAGCTGGGGTCGATGCGAATTCCCCTCAGATATCGACGTCATGGGGTTGCCGAACTAACAACTTGCTGAATATCCGGAAAATTCAAGAAATCCGAAAATTCAATATTGTCGATGACACGTTGCATGCTGTGTGCGTACGTGCTGCTAATCTAACAGTAGTTTTGTCCCGTTCCTTAGGCCAACAAGATTTGATATTCGGAGAGTTCCCTTCCCCGCACACCACCCCCGGTTCCCCACACTTGAATTCCTCCTCCCTCCATTCCGCTCCTCGAAGCCTTCCCTCGCGTCCTGTTAACAGCTCCATCGGTTCGGTCGCGCTGCATTCGGAGAACGGCTCGCTCGAAGATTCCGAAGGGTCCCCGATGGACACAGACCAAATGGTTCCTGTACATCTGGAGGCTACTTCCATGTCTCCACCTCCGATCGAATCGCTCGCCGTTGGTGAGAAAGCCTCACTAGCTGACCGTTCCGCTCGTGAAAAGTCCAGCGCTGCGAATCAGCAGAGCGCTTCGCGCGTCCAATCGCAATCTCTATGCACACCGAACGTTGTGTCGTCTCTATGTTCCCCTCTTTGGCCTTTCCGATGAGCGGTGGTCCGCCCCTTTGTGATAATAATGATCAGTCGATGTGGTAGATTGGGAACTTTAAGGAAGTTGTGCGATTCAAAGCTAACATTCACGATATGAAACCGGTTGGTTCGAAGCGTCGCAACAAATGCACTGTGATCCTCTGTGTACTCCGTTCTGTGTGCTCCGTCCTCTGTGTGAATGTGGGCTCGACCGTCCACGTAACGTCCTTCGACAACGGTCTGCAGGTACGTCCCTGACCCATTCGGGAGCTTTCTGGGTGAATGAGCTACCGGCCGGAAGAGCGCGACCTGGCTCTTTCATTTGCTGCTTATTCGTCTCTGTGGATAAACTTATTCCCAGACCTGAGTTAATCCCGCCTGTTAAAGCACCATGTACCCTTGGTAACTTGGATCTTGGGTCTCCGTGATGGACTCCTCTCTGAAATTTCGCGGATCGGTTTGCGGTTTCTTTGTTCCCAACTGTCTGTTTCACGTCCGGCTTCGGTGAAGGCAAGCGTCGTATTTATCGGATGGAGAATCGTGAATTGGCGGAAGATCTCATCAGCGGCTTCGCCGGCTCGCTATAAAGCAAAGCCCGCTACAAGTATACGTTCCCTCCTCGATTTAGCAACCGATGTCAATTCAATGCTCCACAGGGCTTGATGATACAGCGCAGTGACTTATTAGAGCGCAGGCTTCTACTCGCGTGGAGCTTGCGTCCTCTTCGATTCCGATGGGAGAACCTTCGCGAGTACATCTAAAAAAGCTCTTCCGTTTTCCAGGAGAAGGCTAAACTGTAGACGGTGTACTGTTGACGTCGTATATCCGTTTAGAACGGAGGATTCTACAGCTCGAGAACTACGGATACGATAACCAGAGGTGTGCGGAACTCTCAACGTATAATAAAAACGAAAACATTCCTCCTAAATCCGTTGTCTCATTCTTCCACCGAAGGGGCTTCCGTGCGTTTGCAGGTGCGCGGTGGGGAACTTCTCGAGGAGAAGCACTGCAAATTTGAATAAGGAGGGCAGGTTAGAGGCCGAATTGAGGGTTCGATATCACGGTAGCCACTGTTGTCCATTCATTTGGGGGAAATCACTCTGAATACAGATCGCTCCCCCTTCCGTGACTTTTCACGCAACCCGATGCCAACAATCTGGGCGAGTCTCCATCCGATTTTTTCCGACTCGAGGTATTCGACGTCGAGAGACCGATTGCATGAGCTGGATCAATATGTGTGGCTCATCCCTCCCTCTTCCTGACGACTCACGTCAGTCAATCTGCGACTCAATAAACAACACAAATCTTCGCGAGCGGAGCCGTTCTTCTCGGACTCGAACTCGGTCTCGGAGACACATCAGAGGGGCGTGCTCATGAATTCGGAACTAGAACAGCTCAGAGATGCTGTGAATCGTTCGGTAACAGAACGAATCAAGCACTGCGAGCGCGCTTAGCGCTCCGCGCCACGAAACGAGAGAAGAGGCCTGCTTCCGTCTGGCGATTCTGTACCGGGACAGTCAGCGATCACGCCCTCGGTATACTCTCCCGCCCCGACCGACGGGAATAATGGAATAGAGTGGGGAATAATCTCGGCCCGTGGAAAACTATCTCAACCCTGGAGTCTGCGCCTGTTGATGCTTCTTCGTACGATGTCTTCCACCGCATGAATTCCGCTTATCCTGGCCCAACCGTGGCCGCTGCTCCAGACGGCTGTAGAATGTTCCTCCACGGGAGAGCATCCCGGGTCGGATAATCATGTCACGGATTCCCTTGCCCCGCTCACTCGGGCTCTGTCCTGATGGGACCTCTGGTGTCGGGATAGGGCTCCCGATTTCTCCACGCAGCCCTGTGATTTCGGAGTCGTCAGCTTCAATCGCTATCTCCCTCATTATATGTTTCCCAGGTAAACCTACTCTTGTCGGAGCGGACTCTCCTCGGAAGGGGTCGTGTTCCAAGCATGGATCACACATGTTCTCAAACACGTACATTTCATCAATGGCAGTTCAACTGCTTTCAATAGAGTTTCACGGGACGGTCGCGAACAGAAGAATCATAGGTCTGTCCGATCGTCAAGGGGGGAGCCAATTATTAAGGGCAAGAAGTTTTAAAACACGGCGTTTCAGGCGGGTTTCGTCAGCGACCGTGGAAATTCGTCCTTTCTGGAATCACTCACGCATCAAGGAATTCCTTAATATAAACGAGCGTATGGACAACATGGAATTTTCATTGTCGGGCTCCCCAAGTCCAGCAGAGTGGTGGATGCAGTGTTGTATAATTATCGTTTCGATCATGCTGCCGATGCGCTTGATAATCCCTCGCTTATCCTCCTCCCAGACTCGCTCCGCCGCTTATTTGATTCGTGGAGCGCACATTTGAATAAAGATGTCCACACAGACGGAGTCCCGCCTACATGAAAGGAATGTCCTTCGGAGACTAACGGAACCCCTCATCGAAGATCAGACAAGCGCTCAAAGATGCTTTCTGGATAGGTATTGTTCCAGCCCGTGGTCAGATTCGACCATTGTTATCCGTCTGATTCATTGTTTCGCTGACGTCCCTCGATTGAACTTTCACAGCTAAACACGTCGGATCGTCGCGTCATGTCGGCCATTTCAGGAGCGCGATACTGGCAGCGATCACTTACCGGACTGAGGTGTCCGATGGGCTTGAGAACACTATCGGAAGCTCACCGGGTGCCAAGCCGATGAATGAGTCGGACTAAGAGCTCCTCCCGGAGAGACGTCTCCCCTCTCCTCCGATCGTGCGAAGCCCTAATCGATGCTCAGAATCGTTTCCATAAGGACGAAAAAGGCAAACTCGGAATGAGATGTCAGAACCTTCCTCGATTTTCGTTCCGTACAGGACGGTATCGGATGCTTCCTGTTCGAGAAGTTGAGACAGAGGCTCTGAACGCATTTGCTTCCGTTTTCTGTGGCCCACCTTGACTTTGACAGAATCCCTGGTCAGAATTGCGTCAGTCGGCTGTTATCACGAGCGTTATTGCCGATAGCCAATACGAACGCTACTATTTGCGCCCGAAGAATAAACCACGCATCTATCGGGCGAAAGTCGATTCGTTCGTTTCGGTCACTCGGAGGTACCGAGGGCCGGATCCGTGTGCACTTCAACGTCAATATTCCTCCGAGTTCTTGGTCTCCCGTGAGCTGAACGATCGCTTGAAGGTTGAGGAGGCTGGAGAAAGGCAAAGCGAGTGTCTTAGAGGGGTCAAGAACGATCCCGAAAAGCAAGGAAGGAGACGATTCGTAACTTTCTGCCGAGTTTGTCTCCGAATAAGTTCCTGAGCTAATAAGCAGGGCGTTTATAGCCATCGAAGACTAAGAATTCGGCAATGAGGAGATAGTACTAGTCTCGAATGCTCCTATCAATCACGGACATGGCTCGCGGTGTCTTCGCTTTAATGAATAAGCGATTGGCTTTCATCAAGACATGGCACGAGGCATGATTACTTCGCACAGAATATTCCGAGGGAGATTTCTAGGGTACACGGGAGCGCTTGGTGGAGGAAAAAGACTGCAAAGAATACTGTTGCCGGAGACGACCTTCACCGATTTTCTGGAGTTCCGCAAACAATGGCGGATGCCTTGCGCTTTGTTCTGTGCAGAATCCACTTGACTCCCATGCTTGCCGAAATTCAAGACATTTGGTCATTCTGGGCGTAATTGCACGTTTCATCGTCCCACCGTTGGCGCTTTCTCAGCGGAAGGGACTCCTGTATAATACTGGAAGCGATGGTTTCTCTACGGCTCATCAAGGTACTTCACAGGATTGCCAATTTAATTGAGTTTCAGTCCAAATCGATGCACGATACACAGGGAGTCTTACTACAAGAGTCGGCCCCATGTGGTGACTCGCTCGTTGCTGGACATTCACGACCAGGAATCGACCGTGCATAATCCGCGATCCTGGCATGGTCGTAAGTAAGTTTCCCTCGACTGCGATTCCAATATCGGTTCCCGGCTCGCATGTCTTAGCGAATAAAGTTTGCGCATGAGGAGAGAACGAGAGCAGCGGCGACCTTGGCGATTCCGTCGAGGGCGCCAAGGTAAGCTCTGTCCCCAGGTCCGACAACGGGAGCGGCAGCACCCTCAGCGACACCGACGAGGCGGCGAAGGCGGATCCGTAAGCAAGTCCGGAAGCAGTAGCAGCGATCGGCGCACCATAAACGGGAGCTACTTGGGAGGCCACGACGGGGGGAGGAAACACCTTGCCCACGGGAGCACCATATCCAAGACCAACGATGGGGGCAGCTCCGCCTCGGCGACGGGAGCGGCTACGTCTTCGAAAGCGATAGCAGGGGCAGCGATAGCTCCGAGGCCTCCGATAGCCCGGCGTCAGCCGCGACAGCGGAAACGACGAGGAGGGCGGCTTTCTGGAAGAATATGCAGTAACCTCAAGGGAAAGTCTCAAGAGCTCGGAGCCCATCAGATGCAAAGAGAACCCACAGCGAACTTCTTCCTTGATGTTTCGAAAGGGAGTCCCACACCACAAATACAATTCCAGTGTTCCTGTGGGCTTTCGGCTCTTTGCGGTCTCTCGCTCGATTCTGTTCGTCGGGGCCGCTACCTCTCACGTTTTGTTCCCGGCCCCCATAGATTCCATGATGACTATACGGTATATCGCAGATCGACGCTCAGAACTCGTGGATTTTTTTCTCCGGAACTCGTGGAGTTTTCAGGATGCGAAGATCCTAGAGTTTTGCTCATTCCACGCTGCGGGAACTCGGCAAAAAAGCAAATCTTACACCAGCCCGAAGTTGACCGTTCACAGAACACGGAAAGATATTGGAGTCCTAGAGGGGTGTGTACGCTCTATATTGCGGGTGTGAGTTTCTGCCCCTACCGAGATCTACGAGGCCATCCCCCAGAACATTCGCTACGGTTTCGATAGATCCGCGGAAATGTACAGCGCCGGTTAAGTCCAAGGGGCACGACACTCCCACAGCACTGAGGATGATACCGCCAATGAAGATCACCGCTCCCCCTCCCCGTTGTCCTACAGGTGCTCAACCTTAAGACAGTGTAAGCGATGGGGGTTGTCACCGTCGCGGCTTCTGCTGGTCCACCCAAACTGCATCTGCTTCCGATGTAATCCCATCGCAGAACGGATCCACTCGCTGACCTCGACACCTGGGACCCTTCCGTATTTGAGAAGTGTGCTGGGATGTATCGAATCTCGACCCTTGGCAGCTCTAAGATCGATCAGGACTGTCAAGGTTAGACCAGTTCGGTACTTCTTTAATATCTGAGTAAGTTCAAGGTTGAGTGCTGAATGTGGCGGAGAGGTGGAGCTGAGGCACCCTCTTCCTCCTATGCGGTCATATCACACAATGAAAGAAGGACAGATACTCTATGTATCCCGGTACTAGCCTTCAGCGACCGCCCCGCTCATCGGGAGAATGGGAACTCTTGGGCTCCGAGGAGCCAGCCCGGAATGGGACCCGGAAGGAGAATATCTACTCGCTATGCGTTTCAGCCGACTCCCTGTGTGCTTGGGGCTGTTCGATGGACTCTAGCTGCATGAATGGTGCAGTCGTTGAGAGAGTCATGGACCTCACCAGATCGTCAGGCAAAAGCTCCAACGCCGGACCTCCTCCCAAGCGGCACCGAGACTCGCTGCCCGAGGAGAAGCCACACAGGTCGGGTTTTCGGGAGATTTTATGCCTCTTCTTTCCCTCGCTCCTTGAGCGATGCTTCTCGTACGGACGCGGCAATGGTGATGCTCGGGAGCCTTCCGGCAGGCTCACATCGACCGCGCCTAGTCAAGGGTTCCGAGGGAATAATATCAATATTACCATACCGGTCGAGAACACACTGATTTCTAGAGGTATTGATATCATACTCGTCGATCTCTGCGGATGACCTCTCGCTCCGTCATCTATTGGGAATTTCGGATTTGATCGCGGAGCAGACCCTGCCTACTTCTTGGGGAAACGAAATCCAGCTCCAGTAGTCTGGCAGGATTCGCTGTAGTTCGATGAAATAGATCGGTCCGTGTGAGGCTGAAGAGAGATGTGAGCAGCCTCCAAGCTCTTCCGGAATGGAGGGCCGGACCTTCCGAGTGCTAGTGGTCTGTCTGATCCTCACGCTGAGCCTGTGCAAGTCAAAATTCTTTTTTCACTAAGGCACTTCCAGCCGCCCGAGTTTTATTTTCGACGTAGACATTTTCTCGAATTTACAACCCTACTTAGGGTGTCTCATAAATACATCAGTTTAGTAGTAGGCCTTGGCGACCGGGGCGGCTCCGTAGCCGTATCCGTAAGCGGGAGCAGCGATGGCGTGTCCGTAAGCGGGAGCAGCGATGGCGTGTCCGTAAGCGGGGGCAGCGAGAGCGTGTCCGTAAGCGGGAGCGGCGATGGCGTGTCCGTAAGCGGGAGCGGCGACGACGGTCTTAGCGATGGGGGCAGCGACAGCAACGGGGGCAGCGAGGTGCTTGGTCACGGTAGAGTACGAGGAGACAACGGGGGCGGCAGCGACCTTAGCGATGGGGGCAGCGTAGCCGTATCCGTAAGCGGGAGCAGCGATGGCGGCTCCATAAGCAGGGGCGGCGAGAGCGGCTCCGTAGCCGTATCCGTAAGCGGGGGCAGCGTAGGCGGCTCCGTAGGCGGGGGCGGCGATGGCTCCAGCCTGAGCTCCAGCAACAGCGGCGACGAGGACGGCGACCTTCTGCAACAGGCGAAGAAAATCAAACTTAGATCCTACGAGTCCTTCTCCTCACGGCAACGATTCGACGTATTCCGGGAACTCACAGCGAACATGTTTGATGTTTTCAGTTTCTTACTGTGACGAGACTGAAGCTTGTCTTTCCTTTTATACGGTTCACTTGCCCCTTGCCCAAAGCAACTGGTCATAGAGCGCTCACAGAAAACGTATTGTACTTGGGAACAGGACACATCCACACAGAAACGCTCAACACTCAGCGTGACCGTGAGATCACTCCGAGTGAGAGAATCAGTGTCTTTCATTAAACGATCATCGCATCATTCTCAAGTGCCAAATTTGATATTTTCATCGAGGCTGATGATTATCCGATGCTAGATAATGCTGGACTTGCCAACCGACGGGGAGCAGCATTTCGAATGAGTGAAGTTGATTGCTGTGAATCGAATCCCTTAATTTCTCCATTCGGCGTTGGACAGACTCGGGAGGATTGTCTCCCGCACCATCGATCGATCACAGCTGCGTTGATGAGAAGAATTCGGAGGCAGAAGCTCTTAGCTTGTCCATGACTTCGATTGATGGGGATTGCTCCCGTGAGAGCTTTTGCGGGATCAGGGAAGGGCGACCCCACTCCATTCTAAAAGCTGGATTCGGTGACTTCTGTGTTCGATCGTTCCGTAAGATCATTATCGACCCGCTCTGATCGGTTCGCGCCGTATATTGTCAATGCAGACTCGTTGGAGAAGACGGATTCTGCGAAATGGGACAAATTGCGGACTTTCGCTGCGTCCCTCCCGGTCAGAGGTTGAGAGATGAGTTGGCCGTTCCTGCAGCCTCCCCACGCCTTTCTGGCCTCTGAGAATTTGATTTTCGTCGGATGTCCGATCTCCCTTGTGTTGGACCGGACGAATGTTCGTAGTTCTCTCACATGGATGAATTCTCGGAGCTAGAATCGTCGAAGCCTGGATCTCGGAACTTCTCCGAAACTCGCGGCGAGATTATGTATCAAAGTTCGAAACCCCACTCTAAACGCTCCACCCTAGTCGTCTTCAAGAGACCACACGGTAAGTCCTGAAATCTTACTCAGGTGCTCCGGAGAAGCGGATTCGGGCATTCAGAATATTCTCGGACGAGAGGAATGGGTCAGTCGAACTTATTCCGTCAAAATCTTTCTTTATATCGCCATCAATCACGCGCATTAATTGCTCGACCTGTCTGACCACCGCGGCAGTCGTCGCATGGAGCGCCGATGCTTGATCGAAGCCTTGCTCGACGTGAAGCCGCAGGATCCGTTGCGACCTCGAACCAGCCGAAGTTCTTTTCATGACCAAAGAACACCGTCTGGTTACCGCCAGACACGGGGTGCTTTGTTCCATACACACAACAAAGAAAATCGAACGGAAATAATTTGCATAATCATTCCCTTAAAGCAAAATTGCTTTACGGCCGCTTCAATGAAAACTAACAGAATCGAGCGATGATTACGTAAAATAGACATCTGCCGCGACATGACGACAGTGGACTTCGCTGGTCTTTCTGATCGCGTCAGAGAAGACAGCCCATCGGAACGATGACGGCATGAGTCAGTCCCAAGTGGGCGAGGATATGAATTTAAATCGGGCGCCCGCTGAACAACCTTCAGGTGTTTCCGCTTGACCAGCGAATGCCTGTCGAGTGAGCCCAGCGATCAAGCAGTCGTAGGCGCCGGCGTCGAGCTGTCCTTTAGGCCGCACCCCTCCGCTGCGGACGGATTGTCGGTTCTACCGGACGACTGTGTCTGCCTCCGAATCCTGCAAAAATATCAATCCTTTCAATCAGATCCCTGTCGTTGACTTGGAGCAGCAAGCGAGAAGATTGACGACCAAACTTCTGACTGCCTGACCTACACGCCCCGTGCGATCTATTAATTAAACACTGATCACAACTCTTCGTCCCGACACCTCCCACCGTATCATTCCCCTGTGGCAAGGCTTCCGATGCTCCAGTCGACTTGACAGTTCGCGCTGACATGTCAAATACCTGGATGCCCTTGATGCGTAACCTAAGCAAGATCCACCAATTATCCATGTAGAAGTCTCGCGGTTTCACCTGAGGGAATCCTACCCATGACCGTCTAATCAGGTGACGCATTCCCCACAACTAGACTTCAATCTGGTCGACTTATCGGTGTAGGCGAAGCCATTAGCAGTCTCGATGGGATGCCGGAAACTTTGAGCTCTTCGCCTCTCGCAGAACTCCGCCACCTTATCGCCGTGGCGAGCTTGGCTTACACATCAGCCGTGGATGCATGGTGGCTTCACCTGATGATGCTCTTTTTTTCTCACACTGGAATAGGCCATGCTGCCTGCCTAGGATTCTATCGCATAACGCTTGCCCTGTGAAGAATCAAGAGGGGTGACATGGAGGCGCCGCACTGGGATGGACTGCGGGGTTTTCGTCCTGTTCAATCTGAATGCTTTCGGCGAGCTTTTCGAGACTCGCTTCGAGGCCGGAAGTAATTCTAATGCTTATCAAGCTTGCGCGACTCACTCCCTTACGCGAAGATTACAAAGTCCAGCCATCTACTGGCGCATCGAACATGGACAGTTCGGCATTTGATCTCCAAATGATCGTTCCAATCCGGTACGCGGAATGTACATACAACAGCGAGTCCAGTGTCCAGATCATCCCGATTCCCGGAGCCTATTCTAAAATACTGGCCAGGTAGGAAACGTAGGATCTTCCAAGCTGGTGGATAGGAAATGCATCGATTAAATCCGAGAATATTATCTCCACGCTAAGAATGATGAAGCCCATTGAAATGATGCGTCGCATCGGTCCATTGTATCGTGTGCTCGATCGGATGAACTGCAGGAAGTTCCGATTCGCGAGGGTCCAGTTTAGGGAGGATCGGCGCGAAATGCTCCGGTCCTTGCGAGTTTAGGGTGAGCAGTGTTTCCTCGCTTGGGTGATCGAGACCAGGAAGTGAGCTCGTCGGAATCTTCCACAGCAGAGGAGATCTCAACTCCATACCGCCTTTTCGAATTTCTCACATCTCCCTCGATTTCCGTCGCCAACCCGCCGCGGACTGATAAGTGCTGTGATCATTCTTGGAAGAGATCTTCTGGGATCGCAGAATTACTTGAATGAATTTGAATGGCTCATTGTATCAACTCCATGTATCACATCGAGCACTGTGACTTAAACTTCGTCCGACTTTGTTTCGGGCGCGGGAGGAAATCGCAGAATTGAAGTAGCATGCTGGATGATTTCTGCACTGATTGCACAGTAGTCCGCCTCCTTCGATAATCACGACGCGGGCCGCCGAAAGGACGGAACCCACACGAAAGCCTGTCGGCTTCTGACAGTGTCTCGCCCGATGCCGTCATCTCACAACGTGATAACATACTGACCGAAGGATTCCAATCTGGCTCGATACATCCACCATTCATTGGAATAACACTGTTTTTAAGACTGCTCAAGGGCAGTTCCGCTCGGTTCGTTTAGAATTTTGTCTCGACTTCCGATGTTTTTCACCTCGTTTTGCAATCATTTAATGTTGCGGAGAATTAGCAGGTTGGTGCCGTGTCTATGTCACTTCTCGATTCGATGGGCCTATGTGCCGGCTTCGATGGTGGGCGATTTTCTAAACAGCACCATTGGATTCTGCTATGTTGGGGCGTGTAAGTCGGAAAGAAAAAATTCAAAATGCAATGTCGCTAATTCCGTATCAGGTCTGAGCAACGAGAGCGGAGCCTGACCGGGAATAACGTCGTATCTGTCTCGAGCAAGGTGTAAAAGAACACATGGCTTCATATCTTTTGTTCTTGGCTTTCATTTAAATAGGGCAGTCTTTTATCACAGTTTTTGCTTAGTAGATCTTGTTGATTCCGTACGCGGGGGCGGCATAGGCGCCAGCGTACGCGGGAGCGGCATAGGCGGCACCGTAAGCGGGAGCGGCATAGGCGGCACCGTAAGCGGGAGCGGCATAGGCGGCACCATAGACGGGGGCAGCTACCTTGGCAACGGGAGCAGCGAGGGCGGCACCGTAAACGGGAGCGGCAACCTTAGCGATTGGAGCAGCAGCGATGTGCTTGGTGACAGTGGAGTAGGATGAGACAACGGGGGCAGCAGCAACCTTAGCGACGGGGGCGGCGAGAGCGGCTCCGTAGCCGAGACCGTAGCCCGGGGCGGCATAGGAAGAGAGAACGGGGGCAGCAACGACCTTAGCGACGGGAGCAGCGAAGGCAGCACCGTAGGCGGGAGCAGCGAAGGCAGCACCGTAAGCGGGAGCAGCAATGGCGGGGCCGTAAACGGGAGCGGCAACCTTAGCGATGGGAGCGGCAGCGACGTGTTTCGTGACGGTCGAGTAGGAGGACACTACCGGAGCGGCGGCGACCTTGGCGACTGGAGCTCCGTATGCGAGACCGTAAGCGGGAGCGGCGAGAGGTGCGCCGTAAGCGGGGGCAGCGAGGGCAGCTCCGTAAGCGGGAGCAGCGATAGCGGCTCCGTACCCGACGGCTCCGGCGTGAGCTCCAGCCACGGCGGCGACGACAACGGCGACCTTCTGTAAAACAATGATATCTATATAGCTGTTGGAGAATCTTGGACGACTCAGGAGTTCAGGAGGGTGGATTCGGCCGGAGTTTGAGGATTGCTATGAATATTCCGGTGATGCTTACAGCGAACATGGTTATTTTTGGCGTATTTAGCGAAGTCTGCTCGTGCTCCGAGCTTGCCGCTCTTTTATACTGTGATGTGACGTCTGTTTGCCCTGCGGCTTTCACCTTCTCCAATCGGCTATGGGAGAGTTCACAGAAAAACGTCGTTTATCAAAAACACAACCCTTCTAGAACGAGGAGGCGAGCGACATTTTCTGATCGCTTCAACCCCCGGAGTCGCCTCATGGGTGATTTCGATCATGAACATCGCGGATTGTGCGATTGGAACGGAATCAGCACCAAAACTGATACCCGACACCTTATGGCGAACGAATCCGTTCCATGAACGAATCTTCATTCATGAAATGGAGATGACTCCACAGTATTTCACCAATAATTTCTCTTTGTCTTGAGGAACATCTGCCCGGACTGTTAGTATAATACTCGAAAGGAATCGGCTCGACATAGCTCCTTCGAGAATTTTTCGTCAGGGGAGGAAAGGGACTCGAAGGAGCGGGGCTCTGTTTTTCATGGGTGACCCTCGTCCCAGACCCGGACTCCTACTCACCCACGGAGCTGGAAATGGAAGTCTCTCGAGGCAGAGCGTGCCGAGAACCCATAGAGTTCTACCGAAAAATTGCAATGTTCGACTGCCGTTGGCGAAGCTAGCCGAAGTGCGCCCAGGGAGGATGTGAGGATTCCGCCCCGTATCTGAAGCGTGTTCGTCAAAGTATGCACCCTTATCCCCCGAGGATTCATGGTTTTCCGATTAATTCCATCAAAATGACGCCGCTCGACGGGGATCTCCTCGAGAAATAGCCGTTCTTTTTGGTGCAGAAGTCCTTGCGGTCCCGGGAACCTGCGCCAGGTTGACTGCCCTGGTTCGCCCACCTTCCCACATCCCCCTTAGCTTCGCCACCGTCGATTACGAATGCTGTACGCTATGCCGGATCGAAGAGTGATTCGCCGCCACAGAATAATTATTCTGCTTCCTTCAATGAGTGGGGCAATCATTTCTGCCGAATTCAGTGTAATTTCCGCATCTATTCTCATCGTCGTTCAGCTCATAGACTGTCTTACATCAGATTCTTAATGGCCACATCGTGAGCGAATCTGCGGTACTGACAGTCACGGACAGATTGAATCCACATCGAGAGTCCGACCATGGGACGAAGAATGCGAAAAATATTATGAGTTTGGAGAGTCCGCTCTTCAGGACAAGAAACGCGAGAAATTATACTTTTTGGAGCTTGAATATTCTCGGAGCGTAGACTCAACGCATCTGAGTGAATAGGCAGCCGGATCCTGTCGTACGCCACGGATTCTCCTAGCAGTGAAGGATCCAGAAGCAGGAACGCTTGGATGATCCCCTCTTCCCAGATTTCGTCCGCCTAAACTCAAGATGCCGGGATGAGGCTCTGGCTAAGGTAGCCTTGTACCTCGATTCGTAGGCGCCGCGCTGCGCCTCAAGTCCCCCCTTGGAATGGACGAGTCTCTCCTCAATCTCTCCTGAGTTCGCGGAGGGGCGATGCAACCGTGCGACGAGGAGTCCGTTGGAAGGTTTTGAGAAGTTTGCGGTCAGACGCAATTCATTGCAAACGGTGAGTTCCCCAAGCGCAAGGGGCTGAATCGACACAGACCTGAGGTGTATTCTGGACGGCTACCGAAGACAAGAATCAGATTCCACGGAAAAATTCATTCATCATCATACATTCAGCATTCCCTCCTTGTCTCAGGCTCATTGTCCATCACATATCACATCCAAGGCTTAGTATATCTTCCCGTAAGCGATACCGCCATAGGCAGCTACGGGGCTAGCAACTTTGACTACCTTAGTCACGAGATTGATTGCTTCTGCGATTTTCTCGGGAAGCACGGAGTCCGCGGAGTCAAAGAATTCGATAACCTACAGCGTACATTCCGTTATAGGCTCCTGTGTGGAAACAAATGTATTTCTCGGACAAATTGCACCATTCTACGTGAAATCGTCGCATCCCCCAACGAAGGAAAAAAAAGGACGCGAGAGAAGGCACTTGAATGCCGCCCCGTGTCACCGTCGCTTCACTGCTGATGTATATGAAGGCGCCCCGCGATCTAGGCCCTGTTATTTATGTTGGTACATGCCATGGACGAGTGAATGATTGAATGGGTTCGGCGATGTCTCCCTCTTGGAATAATTCAAGATCGGAGAGATTTGATATTCATTTTTCGAGCGAACACAGAAAGCCACTATTTGGAATGAAACTCTCGACCTCCTTCATATGTAGCTCAGCTCCCACGGTCGTTCGTACAAGTCGCGTACATAGTTGCAGAATCTCCCGGAAAGCCTGACGCCATCTCGGCTCTTCTCTGGGATCCTCAGTTTCCGCTTGATCGATTCATCCCACCCGACGCAGGGTACCCCGATTGACCGTAACGATGATGTATCCATCGATGTGTACGATGGAGAGCTTCGTCGCTGGAACGGTGATGCGCGACTCTGATCGACCGTCTGCAATGAGGCAGCATCCCGACGATATGATTGGTTTAAGGATTTCAGGCGGCGAACACTCCGCCAACCTGTCCCAATGCGATCTCTGTTAATGAGCCTCGAATGAACACAGCCATACCCGCGGGCATCGAACGGTTTTCTGATGAGCAGGCCCCCATTGTCTATGAGGAGCGGATACTGCATTGGCCCCGGTCGTTCTCCTCCCTGCTTCCGGGGTACGTTTCACACAGACTTCCATCTGATGGTTTTTGCTGTCCGTCATTCGCTCATACTTCTGGGCAGCCTTTCAGATCAAAAAGTGTTGCAGCGCGATTATTAACAATGAAGTCTTGATTCCGAAGTGAACGAGGAGAAAGAAAAATCACTGTGTGCCCCGCCGCTATCGCATGATCTGAACAACTCACAGGCGAGCTGCCAGAGAATCATTGCACCACGTTCCCCACCCCCAACGTCAGTCAGCTGAGAGCTTCCCCGTGTGCCTCCACCCTTACATGCCGCAAAGCGACGGAAGCTCCTCGTGAGGTTTCTGTATCGATGCTTGATCGTTCCTGACTAGATGGAACATTCAGCATCGAGTTCGCGCACTCGGATTCCCTGCACTTGGGACCGTTCGGAATACATATCCCAAAGTCCACCTCGGCGTGCTCGCGATACTTAGGCTCGCCTCCGCTCCGAAGCCGTCATGCGTTTCGATCAGGATCAAGCTCTAGTCTGTGGGACGTGCTTTCGGAAACACTGGACCTCAGAGCAGCGCGAAATAGGATTAACCGATTTCGATTTGAGATCGGATCGAGCTGTGAATATTTCTGCATCACTCGGAGGAAATTATTCGACGTTCTGTCAAGCTGTCTTCGAGGAACTCGCTCAAGATCGACGGAGTCGATTGACAAACGAGTTTCCAAGTAGGCACTGATTTCGAGCGGAACCAATGACGAGACAGCCACCGTCGGTCAAAGGTTGTAAGGAGCGACATACGGGCGCAATCGGAAGTGTCTGGGTCGAGAAAGCCTTTGAGAGTTCATTCCATTCGTCAAACCAGCTCCGATGTGGACCTCCATGAGAAGTTCTGAGATGTCATTGAACTTGAGCTTATCCAATATAGGACGACTCGTAGAGAACTTCCCCCCTTACGAGTCGGCAACTGGCCGAGCTCATCCAACCCGGAGAATTCGCCGTTCCCATCTCATATCCCCACTGTGCGTAGTTTTCAACCCAGCGTCGAGTGAGAAATAAGCTCCACCGATCACTCTATGACACCCCATCGAGAGCATCGTTGGTTGTCGCTGCGGGCCTGTTTGAATTTTCGATACACATGCCGTCATTCGTTGTCATGAACGGCTGAGGCTGAAGCAGCGGCCGGGGCCACAATGTGTCTGCTGAATGAGGCGTTTCTGACGTTCACAGAATAAATTACGAACTCTGTAGCAGTCTTGATTGCTTCATGGAGTTGTTGGCAGCAGTCCACACATGGATCCTAATGTTGTCTCCTCAATTCTCTCACACGAGCCCCAAAGTACTCGTTCCTTCGAAGCCTCTCATGTGTGTCATGTATCATGTATCACCGATACACATATTCGCCAGCCGGTAGGACGAGCGCGATTGCGCCAGCAGCCACAGACACCACCCAGATAAATCCTCGCAGCGAGTGAAAAATCACCCATGGAGTCGACGTTTCCCTGGATCGTGGATACGGAAGAGCTGAAGAGAAGGCCTAACCGCTGAGCTCCCCGTCTTCCAGGCGGCTCCTGCTCCCGGCTACGATAGATTTGGCAAGCCGAGTGCGAGATTAGCGGAAATAGATCTCAACAGACGCCACGGTCCCAGAAAATGGATAAGGGCAAAGCACCCCGGCGTGGTAGATAGAGTTCGATCCCGAACTGTCAAAATGTGCGGTGCCCATACTGAACGCAAGGTGTGATTAAGAAATGCCCTTGTCGATACAAATGTGCCTCTACTCGCTACTCGCCTCCCTCCGGCTCAACTCAGGACGCCCAATGTGCTCCCTCGTCGAGAGCTAGGCTCCGATTTTGGTCACCCATGGATTTGGAAATCTATCCCGCTGCACGCGAGATGACATCGAGACAAGTGCTGGGTTCCTCCAGGATCCCCCTCGCTCTACGCATGACTCAGCTGGCCAACCGGCAAGTTCTCGCACGGTACGACTTGATTGCAGTCAATACATGCATGCCTATCATGTGCAAACTGCTTTGGCCTCTCGGCTATCGGTCGGAGAGCTAGACGCGGAACGCCGCTATCGGATTCGCAATGCAAATAGCGGTTTCCTCCTTGCGTAATTCAACGAGAAATGCACCGATAGCTCTTGATTCTAGATCATGCCTGCTTTATTTCGTTACAACGATTGATTCGAACACATAAATATTTTTACATCTATGGTTTATCACAGTCGGTATCTAGTAAACTTTGCCGTATCCGATGGCTCCGTAAGAGGCCACGGGAGCACCGTACGAGGAGATGACGGGAGAGGCAGCAACTTTGGCGACAGGGGCGGCGAGAGAGCCGTAGCCGAGTCCGTAGGCGGGGCAGCGTAAGCAGCTCCGTAGGCGGGGCAGCGTAAGCAGCTCCGTAGGCGGGGGCGGCGTAAGCAGCTCCATAAACGGGGGCGGCAACCTTAGCGATGGGAGCAGCAGCAACGTGCTTGGTGACGGTGGAGTAGGAAGAGACGACGGGAGCGGCAGCAACCTTGGCCACAGGGGCTCCGTAGCCGAGACCGTAAGCCGGGGCGGCGTACGAGGAAAGAACGGGAGCAGCGGCGACCTTAGCAACAGGAGCGGAAAGAGCCGCTCCGTATCCGAGACCGTAGGCTGGGGCAGCGTACGAGGAGAAGACAGGAGCAGCGGCTACCTTGGCAGCACCGTATCCGAGACCGTAGGCCGGGGCGGCGTAAGCAGATCCGTAAGCGGGAGCAGCGTAAGCAGCTCCGTAGGCGGGGGCGGCGTAAGCAGCTCCGTAAGCGGGCGCGGCGTAAGCAGCGCCATAGGCGGGGGCAGCGACAGCTGCTCCGTATCCGACGGCTCCAGCAGAAGCTCCAGCGACAGCGGCGGCGACGACAGCGATCTTTGGAGGGGGAACGATTAGACAAATATTCGAATCGTGGAAAAGAAAAAAGAAAATCCTCAACCACAGAGAGCACAAATCAACTCTGAACACAAATGAGAGCAACTCACGGCGAACATGTTGTCAGATTTGTTTTGAGTATGAGTATATTTCCGTTGACCGATATCGTTTTATATGAATTTAGATCAAGAAAATCCATTGGAAAGGAGAAAAATAAGCGCCCTTCGGTTTTAGTCTTGCCAACTTCACCGTGTGTGGGAACGCGCCTCTAGCGATCGGTCGCGTTCGTTGCATTGTTTTCTGTTTACTGGGTTGGACTAGCTGACAGACCGTCGAGAATGACTGATAAAACGGTACCTCGACATCGATCACCGGTACTTGGGACGTGTTAGAACGAAGGTGATACGCCATTCAACCGGATATGCTCCATCTGAGACTGGCCTTTCAGAAATTTCGGCATTGTACATCCACCCTGTACGGCCGGGTCTCTCGGAACTGGATGAATAAAAACTTCTGAGCGTTACATCTACACGATACATAGTCGATTATATGGCTTTACTGAAGTTCGATCCGCTTATGGTTCCGCTGTACTGGAATCACGAGCCTGTCCATTTCGGCTGACCGATGCGTCCGGGATTACACGAAGCGCGAGAAATACTGTTATTCTCGCTATGTTCGAGTGATTAGCGTGAAGCCCAAGATCTCTCGTCAAGGCGGAACATTTTAATCGAGTTGAGACATCCAGAAGTGCGTTTCTGTTTTCGCCAATGCCCACGCAATAAATCAAAGGTTTTTCTTCTGGAGGCTCTCCAGTCTTCGAAAGACAATGATTCCTTCGGATGAGAACTAGTCGCTTAATGAAGACAGCGACGCGGCTCCGCTCAAAGGCCACCCCGAATATGACCGTCACGACGACGCGACGATGGGCTCAGCCGTCGTCGTACCAGATCCGATCCTCTCCGATCGTATTTGGAAAAAATCGGTCCGAAGTGTCGAATTCAAAATGGCTCTGCTGACCTTACATCGTTTACAACGCCCATCTGGACTCTACGGCGACAACAGCGCTTGAATAGCCCTGAGCGGTGGCCGCCGGCGGGCTAACGGATTTCTGACGAAATTCGCTTCCTTTGTCATTCACGTACAGATATATTGGTTCTGCAATTATTTCCAACAGCCGGAACATTCACTTCACTGTACAGACAGCGGGTCTTATCTGACGCTTTCTGTGGCTGGCCACAGTTCTTTTCGGGGAATCCGCTACTGTCGATCAGATGAACGATTGCATCGAACTAGGAACACTGATGGTGGGTCCACCGTGTTTTCGCTGTAGCCGAGGCGAGCAAGACGAGTGTTTCGACAAAAACCGCGCGTCCTATCAGTGATTTCGCGAAATGACCGGAATCCCCAATGACAAAATTAATTTTCGCAAAAAGCGACGAAATGCCTCTCATGAAGGAGTCGCGCTGATGTGTGGTAATGCCTCTGTCTGAAGCTCTGATAAATAATTATCAACTGACGTAGGAATCGTGGCGTTGGCTCAACCTAGCCACGCCGGAGAAACATCTGTCCAGATGACCGAGGAAAGCAAGCTTGCGCGGAAAATAAGTTTCTCCGGGGACTTCAGAGAGCCGAAAGCCGAAGCTTACTTTATTTGCGGATGAGGTACTTCCCGTTCAAGTGACCGTAGGCTGCCAACGGAGCGCCATAACCAACATTGTGACCAAGTCCGTAGCCCGGGCCGTAACCGTGTCCGAGACCGCCCGAGTATCCGAGGGCGACAGGAGCGTGGCCATAGGCGCCAACTCGAGCGGCGGCAATGCCTGGGCCGTAGGCAGGGGCATAACCGTGGTAGAGCGGAGTGACAACCTTTGCAACGATCGGTGCAGCGACAGGGACGGTTTTTGTCACCGTCGTGTACGACGATGAGAGAACCGGGGCAATCTTCGCAATCGGGGCGATTCCATGTCCACCGTAGCCGTATCCGTGAGCGTAGCCATTTCCGTATCCGAGTCCATAGGCGGGGGCAGCGTATTCGTAGGCGCCGAGTCCTCCTGCCTGGGTGCCGAGGACGGCGAAGGCGGCAACGGTGGCGAATTCCTGCGGAAAACCCATAGACCTTTATCATGATGCAAATAATTGTGGGAGAGCGGGTCTGTGGGTCTGAGAGTTTTTCGGTGTCCCTCTGTCTGCAGTTGGGACCGGACTTACGATGAACATCTCGTATCCTTTTGTCTCGAGTGATGTATGTGAGATATCCTCCACGTTATATACAGGAGTCCAACCCGCCTCTCCTCGGGAAGGATGGATCTTAATTCCACCTCTGTTCCACGGAGAGATCCAACTTCTTAGGTCCCTCCCGGACCCTTCTGTGTTGCCAACTCCAATCGATTCGTGGGCTCTCACGACATGCTTGACTACTTGACCCGCTGGCCCTCTGGCACGGGTCTTCAATAGAAGAGACTAACCATGACCACTAATGAGGATCTATTGTCCGAGTCTGCCCGGTACCGAGGAAGGAAAACTGCTGGCACCGCTCGTTGGCAGGTGAAACAAAATGCAAATACGCGCCTCGAGTCGTTAAGGAGCGCTCTTAGACCTCCGCCCCGGAGTGATTGGCTCCAACTAAGGCAATATAGCCGAAATTTCGTGCCGCCGAAAATTGGTTATTCTGTGCCTGAGGAACGTATCGAACTACGATTCCTCTCCTCCGGACTTCATCGCGACGCGACGATGCAGCCAAATACATATGTATAATGTATGTATTGTAATGTAATGTAATATGGTGATTGAGGAAGCGAGCGATTACGGATTCCGGATGGTCATGGGGATACCACCCCATTTTCACTGCCGGAGTGAGGCTTCGACACCGTACTCGTGGTCTGGAAACCATGCATTCTCCATCGACCATGGCGACTCCTCCATCGAGAGAGTGCCAGTGTATACATAGCTCCACGTCACACCGAGCAGCATCGGCTCAGATCACGAATGAGGACCCAAAGAGAAACAGTTCGTTGGCTACGCCTGGAAGTGAGCTGCGTGCGAGGAATGATGATTATAATATGATCAACAGCAAAGGCTTGAGCTCCTTTTCCCAATGCCTCCCCACGGCGCAAGCCGATCAGTGTGCGCTCCCATTCTGGGACGCCGAAGTTTGTTTGGGGTAAAACCTGCGGTAAAGACAGCCGGGTCACAAGAGTGCAGGACCTAATGACGACAATCGATTGAGGTACCGTTGCAGCTCCTCTCCGTAAAGCCTGGAGTGCGGGGGTCTTGGATTTATCTCTCATTTTGGTGTTGAAGCCGTATGGCCCGTAGGAGTAAGAGCTTGCCTGTAAGAAGAAGCCTGTACACCGAAGTGAGTCAATAAAGTCCAGTATCCCGCAGTTCACAGCGGAGCGCTCGCGACCGCGAATGTGTCGCATGGGACTAATGGAAGATCCTACTTCCCCGAACGTCCCGTTACCCAGGATCTGGAGACTGTCTTCTCTCTATTTACATTCGAGATATTCACATTCGCTGGGTGAGGAGAAAGACTGCTCAGTCAGACTCAGTCCACATGCTCCGGTCGGATCAGAGTCCTGGACCCGAACTCTTTCCTCAATCTTCGAATACGTCGCAATTCACGTGGACTCACCCCATCAACCACGGAAAATGCTCGACCTTGTGGCCGGCCCACCGAGTTCCTCCCGCCCTCTCGAACCTGTTCTCCGCTCATTAAGAGCGAGTCATGTCGTCCCCGACGGTCAGGAGGGAACTCACGGACGGAACCCTTAGCGCTCGCCGAGCTCCAGCTCACTTCCCCACATCGTTCTCGTCACCTCCTCGAGCAGTTCGCGATGGACCGCGAGCACGAGCGCGCTTGCGACGTAAATTCCGAATCGCCGGTGAGTAGGTAGTCGCGTAGGCGGGATAACGCGCGCGCGCGCGGAAAAACAGACGGAACGTCTGGCTGGATAGCGGACCTTAATCGTTCTAGCAGCCACTAAGGCACTCTCGTTGGCGAGTCGCGTAGCTAGTCACAGTTGCTGGAAGTCGCAGTCAGGCGAAAGACCTAGTTCGCACTCCGCTAACGACTCTCATCGGTAGCGGGCTGTAGTCACATCGCCTCTCCGGAAACCATCCGTGTGTGTCGTGTTCTGTGCGTCTTCGAGTGATGACTCCGGAGCGATCCCATCACTAACACGGTAATCAACTCGAAGAATACAATTCGATTTCGGAAGATTTGCCTGACCCACGGTCGAGAGGGAGTTGTCAAGGATACACCCACCGCTTGACAACTTGAACCGGTCCGACACTCCGATCATGCTCCGTTGAGCTTTTTTCTCCGATGATCCTCTTCCGATTGTCCTAAATATCCATCCGACCCAGGGATAGACTTTTGCGATGGAGTAGCCTTTGGTCAGTGATGTTTCTTATGCCGAATCGCGAATATGCACGGATACAATGGTTAAGCTTGGCAGACTCTCTGGCAGCTCTCGCTACCCAGCGTAGATGGAACGAAGAGACGAGCCCAGTCTCCGACTGACGCGTGAGAGCGACTGACTGATCATATCATTCGATATGATTCTTTAGACTTTCACGGCTGTCTACCGCGCTTCTCTTTTTTTCGAGAGCGCAGATGTCGCGGTATCAAAGGGTTGAGCCAGAAGCCCTTAGAGAAGCCGGACAGGGTTTTTATGTTCGTTCAGTTGACACTTGATTGCTTCGAAGCTGGAAAGCTCTGGACACACTAACAGAGACGGTAGGGCGGCTGTGAACCCGACCGACCACAAACGAGTAAGTCTCTCCCACCCTAGTCAATATCCTCCGAGGAAACACGAGGATGGAGACGCATTGGGCGTTGTGCGGTGCCTTCGATTTTTTGTGGAGGAGAACTCGAGCTCGTCGCTATCGTTGTCTCCGGAGACACGGCTCTCGTGATCCATTCGGACGTTGGGCTGGAACTCGTTCGACCGAGCAACACCTAGAGCTTAAGGGTTCGCTCGGAGCGATTCGTAATCGAATCGAAACTAGATTTTGGAGTTCTCATTGCGCAGAACGCGTTTGTCGTCAGCGCTGCTGCTGACACAGATTTTTTGGTGAGCGACCACTTGTGGCTACAATTCGAAGTTGGAGTGAAATTCGCCAGTCAGTTACGACGGTGCGCAACTTTGTTTTCATTACTATTGCTTGAATAAGGAAGTGAGTCTGTGAATGATTGTGTAACATTCGAATGTCCGGACGAAATATCTTGATGATGGTTCTCAGGATGGATGACTCTGAAATGGTGATCTCGAAGAGGAAAGCGATCAATCGCGGGCTGTCTTCTGCTGTCGACACCCCTTCTTCTCGAGTCCTCCGCTTAGCTTCAGCAAACTCGTTTGATATCGTTCCGCCTGCTCCTCGGGCTCGGACTTGCGAAGCGCAGAGTCCGATCGCGCTTTCACGCTCTCCGACAGCAACCAGCTCGCTTGACCTGATATGTTTGATGCATGCCAGATGTGAATCGGAAATCTAGCGACATGACACTCGAGCCGCTTCACAACTCACTCTAGCCCAACGTCTGAGGGAAATAATTGAATTGCATTCAGGAATACTCCGCATCGAGCTGTCCCTGCTGCAGTCGGGGGCGAGAAAATGCGCCCGGCGGAACAGGTATTCGATCCTGGATTTGATCTGATTGTTTCGCCGAATCCGATGCTGCTCACAATAGGCTATCCACGAGCTTAGAGGGATTTCATTTTCCAATTAGAGCCTTAGAAGAGATACACGACCCTTCGGAGCTTATCATAAGGAATGGAGAAATTGGATGAGTCGCGAGTATTCGAGATTTCATGGAATGGCTTCAAATATGCAGCTCTGTTGATCGGGTGGTCCAGCTCGTTCAAGGTGTAAGGCGAGTGAAAACTAGCCCGGACCCAGGGTCAAAGAGTTGGTAAGGTTGGCTGCCGCTATATTCGCAACCTGTTGTGGGTCTCGAAAGTTTCAAGAGTTTCGGCCATTTTGTAAATATACATACGTCGGAAACAACCACGAAGGCAACCGAGTCCTTCCCGCAAGTCTGAGGCGCTCAGGTAATTGGGAGATTTCGACCGCCGACGCCGTGGATTCTCATTTCCTCGCACTCGCAAGTCATCGTTCTGATGCACAAAAAAATACGCCGAGTGAGCATTTCATCGACCTTGCGTGGCTGTCTCTGCTTCCACCAATAACAGATGTGCTCCTAGCAGATCCGTCGATCGCGAATGATATGTGTGAATCCGATCCGAACTCGTTCTGACCCTCTGCAGATGACATCATACACACTCGGGAGAGTTCGTATGTTATAGGGAATTGAGCGAAAAATTTTAATTTCCACGGGAGATACTGATCAGACAGGTCTGGCGGGCAAGCACCGCATCCGACTAGAACGACAGCCGCTCATCCTCCCGATGGTCGATCTCTGCGAATGTTCTTCCTATTTTTTGCGTTGATCGATGACCTCCAGAGCATCCGCGTGTTCATCTGCAGTCACTCGGAGCGTCATGAGAAATCTCGAGACGATCGAGCGTTTCTCTCGATTTTTCTTCCCTGACGTGTCGAAAGATCTGTCTACTGGAAAGGGTTGGGCTCGAACAGCCTCTCAACTAGAGACCGCGTTCGGCGAAATATGTACTTTATCCAGTAAATCCCCTTTGATCATTGCTCCTGGCTGACCGAAAAGCCCCAAGCTGCAGACAACGCCTCAATGAGCGCTCATCAACTTTCGACAGCGACCGAACCGTCCGGAACGGCTGAGGCAACACTCTAACACCTGCGTCACTTACAGTTGCAAATCGTGCCGCGATCTGTCGGACGCCTCCTGTGCGCGTCGAGTACGCAGATTGACGGACCACTGGAGAAACGATGACGTCGGGACGCCGTTCGGTGCAAGGACGGATGCGATCCCCCACCTTGATTAATGTGTCGACCTCATGAATATCAGACCGGAGTGATGAGCTCCCAATCTCGTTGGACGTTCGACTCGGCGAGTCTCTGTCCGTCGGTCGAGGATCCGACCTCCTTCGAATTGGAAGCCAGAAGCGGACAACAGTCGTTTCACGAACTCCAAGAACGATTGGCTACGGTGAAATTTCTTGCGTACGGAGTCGTTGCGATCTTCATCATCGTTCTGGGCTTCATCGGTAACGTGATAAACCTGATCGTGTTGACACGGCCCAACCTCAAAGGAGTAACTTATGTCTATCTCACGTGGTTGGCAACGTTCGACCTACTGTCTCTGATTTTCGCCCTGTTTTCGGTTTTGAGACTTCACGGAATACAACCAAAGAGCTACACGGCTGCATTCTTCTACGCCCACCTGGAAATGCCTCTTGTGAACTCAGCCATGACCAGCAGCATCTACATCGTTCTAGCCGTGACTCTCGATCGATACTGGTCCGTCTGTCTGCCGTGCCGTTACAAAGACATCCACACAGAAAGATGCGCGCATCGCGCGATCTTCATGTCGTTTCTTCTGCCACTGATCCTCTATATACCGGTGGCGTTCCAAAAAGAACCCACTCGAATCATCAATCCGTACAATGGCCAAGAGGAGTGGGTCCCGTGTGACAGACCCGCGGTGGCACAGCACCCAATCTATCGCTTGTATCTCATAATGAAAGAAGTGATCGTGCGCTTCGGTCCCGTCATAGCGATCGCTGTGCTGAACACAACAATAATTCTCACGTTCAGAAAACTGCAAAAGAAGCGAAAGAGTCTGATGGGCTCGTCCGAAAGTCGGCGCTTCGCTGAAGAGCGGCGTTTGGTGATTCTCCTGGCGTCGATTGTCATCATGTTCTGTGTTTGTATGACTCCGGCCGCGATAAACACTCTCCTCAACGGTGACCGCCTCGATAATAATTACACCTATCAGGTAAGTCTAACATTCTTCGAGGTCCAGAGGCAGCGGGGACGCTAATTCTAGAAGCATCGTTCCCGGTGACAACCTATCGGTTCACGGGAATCCGTGTCTCGTTTGGAGAGCCCGATGTCTCGAGAATGACTCGTTGAGACAAGTTGTCACTCAAGCCAGCTGACTCTCGGTCACATCTGACTCATGTTTCAGGTGTTCCGGGCATTCGCGAACGACATGGAGATCACCAATTTCGCCACGAATTTCTACGTGTACTGCCTGTGTTCGACGGAAATCCGGAAAACATTCATCCGTGTGTTCATTGATCCGTTGAGTTTGCCGTTCTGCTGGCTGGCAGCCCCCCTTCCAGCAGAACAACCCCTAGTCAGGATATCGCATCCATGGCGATGACACCCAGCGGCAGCAAAGCCTACGAAACTCAAACTCTGTAAAGGAAGAATCATTGTTGAAAAATCGAAGATCTTGTAGAGAAGTCGACGCGTGGAAGTCGAGGCATGCAGATGAGCTCGTCGGGAGAGACCCCTGTTCTCGATGAGCTTTTGGTGGAAGCTCAGTCTTCGACGAATCTTTCCCGAATCTTTGCTGTGGTCAAGGTCCTCGGAAGCCGGCGTTGAAATTTCGTGTTTGTATAAACGTCATCGATCAACCATGACCGCACTCGTGGCGTACAACGAGTATCTTGTATGATTTACCGCAGATTCGAGATGTTGTGCAGCGACAGCGAATAAATGTACATACGTCACGCCCTGATTACCTTTGTCGTCTTCTCAAGCTCCCGTCTAGTCCCCGGCGCTGAAGGAGCTGGGGGCTAATGTGTTAGAATGTTTTCGAATGAGGTGAAAGATCATCCTTCTCGGGGACGCCTTCAACGACGTGTCGACATACTGAGAGCCCTTCTCTCGAATCTTCCAAAGTCTTTCCCCGTGTCGATCGCACCGAATGCCGCATCTCGTCGTTCAGTAGCTCATTCGATATACGGTACATCCAAAGCTGATGCGCCTCGCATCCGAAATTAACCGCGGGAAGATCTCGAGGCTTGCAGAGATTCTCTTAGACATATTCTCCAAGAGTTCTGACATCGGCATCGGGTGTATGCGTCGTTCACTGTACGAGTCAGGAGACCAGGTACGACGAGGAGGGGGGGGGGTATCGGTGACCTTTTACCCCGGGCCCAGAGTTTCCAGAAGGGCCCCTAGCTCAGGCTTCAATAGCTTCGTCAGAGCCCTGAATTTTTCCCCTTTCCAAGAAATGCATGTAAAGGAAACTGCTGCTCTGATCAATTCGTTCCATCACTTCTCTAGTGACACATCACAGACCATGATCGGAAGGGGCTCATGTCCGAATTCCCTCCCGAGCCCAGAATTTCTCTCTGCGGCCCTGCAGGAGACCACCCGTCTTGCCTTCGCCGTCTTTTTCGGCGACTTTCAGAGTCCTCGTACACATGAGAGATTTCATCACGGAGTCGCTTTATCTTTCTTTTCCACCATTTCCACAAATATACAAACATCTGAATAACCCATTCAACAAATATAACGTTGAATTACAGTAAGCTTACCAAGCCTCCAAGAGGGTCGAGAACAAGTTATGACATTTTACAAGTGAAATTCGGTGGCCGGTAGCTTCGCGACCTTTGTCACACAATTTTGCATATGCACACGATGACGGCAACCGGGGATTCAGCGATCGTCTCTCGGATACGATCAGCTCTGGTTGGGAACGCACGACCGACAACCCTTGGTCGCGAGTCCCACTTTGGGATAAATAACCTTATTTTTTACATTAAAGGAAAGGAGAGTCGGCCTCGACTCTCTTTAGACGATGGGAGAATCATTCGGATTACTCCCACATCGTTTCAAAGAGGCACTCTCACACGAATCAATAAATAATATAAGGTAGATAGTCTGGTCGCTCTAGGGAGCCACAGAATCGGCTCAGAGAGTCTAGAGTCTAGACAATCCATAATTTCTTTACATCACAATTTGGATGGTCAACTGAGAACGGTGGGGGGGGGGGGGACGACCACTCATTATCGAAAGAAAGCTCTTTCCACAATTCAACGAAAACTCCGAGCCTTCGCTATGACGGGCGGAGGTTCTGGGACTCTGTCGCGGCAGGACTCAAGGGCTGATCGGGACAATCGTCCAGCGGTATTTCAGCAGCGAGCTTGAAACCGTCACTCAAGAGAAGAACGCTGTCATTCCCGATTTCCACATTTCGCGTATTGCACAGCTGTAGTAACGCAACGAAATTTCTTGACACCTGCTCGGGTTTCCTATGACGGAGAATTTCCCCCATGGAGACCTTTTCTCCCACTTTCATGTCCTGAATTATAGTTCGCGCAGTGTCTCGCAGATCGAATTTCGGTTTCTCGTCCAATCTCTGCAGTATCGGTCTTATTTTCTCCGTCCACGTTTGATATCGATCGTCTGCCTCCTCCTGCTGTCGGGTGGGAGTGGAGTCGTCTACGGGTGAAAGCTCTGTGACGCCTTTCGAGAATTCAGATTCTGAAAGAGAGCAGGTTGAAGGCAAATACATTCGGATCGTCAGCGATAAAGGCTCGATTCTTCGGCATGATTCACTGATACGGACCTTTGGTTTCGCTCATGATGTCCGCGACCTCATCATCTGTGTCATCGGGTGGACCAAGATCCCAATCGGGAGCCTGCAAGGGAAAACCACAAGAGTTGGACCGGCGTGAAGCGTCGACCGTAGAAATTCAGCTTCCACGAGGCATCGGCATCGTGTTCTCGGGGCATTTTTCTCTCGAGCGCTGTCTCTGTTCGAGCAGCAAACTCACGTGAGAAGGCGTCGCAGACGATGGTCTCGGGGAATTCAAAACATCTTCAGAAGGCGCCAGGGGCTGCGATTCTTCTACATTTTCACCATGTGCGGTGCCATCTCCATGAATCGTGCAGTTTTCGAGGAGTGGGGCTTCTGCTTCGAAGTCCAGTTTTGCCCGCTTCGATTTGTTAATCTTAGGATCCTGTAAACAAACTCACCTTATTCATACAATGCGACTCGATATGACGTCTTCCGAGAAAACCTCTGGAAGCCCGCAACAAGGAAGAAGAGGGCTCTGGGAGCTCCTTTTCTGACCTTGCGATCGATGCCATCCCGGAGGTTTTCCTCCAGGTGGAGCGGGAAAGTTGAGGCCAGGGAGCACTTCTGGATTCAGCACTCCCGCGGCCAAGGCCTTCATCGACTTCCCAAGAATCATCACTTTCCATTCCGATCGTTGCCGAAGCATTCCATGCTCCGAGAACGCTGCAGCCGGAAATAGCGGAGACGTGCATTCCTATGTACTCCATGCACTGATCACGTCATGAATGGATTCGACCCCTAAGACTTCCGAGCAACGCATTGGCGCCTCACCTTCGAAGATTTCTTGGCCTTCCTTTTCCGCTTCGAAGCGGAGCTGTCTGGTTTCCTTTTTCCAGTTATGAATTCCGATAGAGTCATCGCTGCGGGAAGCTTTCTCGCACTACGCTTCGGTCGTGTGTTTGGATCCAACATCGGCGTGAAGGGGGTGTTGATCAAAGTCCTTGAATACGTACGCAATCTTGTCAATGCACATGCTCCAGATAAACGTGAAATCTCATGATCCCACTCCCAAGCTCGGCCTACATGCTCCATGGGCAGCTTCATTTAGATGCTGACGAATTTTGGAGTATGATCAGGAAAAGCGAAACAAGAAGATCGAGGAAGATATGTCTCTACAGAAAGAAGTAGACGATCTGGAGAAAATCAAGGATACTTCCGAGACTCTTACATGGATACAGAGGTGTCGGGTCTCGATGGTCCTGGCGATGGAGGCATCCTGCGGATCGAGAGATTCGTCATAGTCAGAAACACTTGGGATGATTCGACAGCGAGAGCGCCCCGCGATGGCAGAGCTCTTCGGGTGCCGATTGGCAACACCCTTTGCGTAGGGTCTCTCGGAATTCCTGCGCGGGTCGCGGAGCCCGGATGAAAATTTGATCAGGACCGAGGAAACTCACTCATAGGCATGGTCCGGATGCGGAGCAGGGGTGGAACACATATCATGTGCAAATAAGTTTTCCGCGAACCCGTTTCCGACGGCGCAGTCTGGTTCCGACAAATTGGAGTCGTCGAGCATCGGTGCGTCATCAAGGTCTGCATCTGATTCAACATCGGCAATTTTTGGGTTCGCCAGAAAAACTGAAAGTGAAATTCCGAGAGACTGATTAATGATCGAGGAGGTACCGCAGGGCTAACCCGTGTGAGGATTCATCGCTTGGGAAATCGCTCGGCACGGGATCCTGTGAGGCTTCCCGCATCAGACACTAGGGACCCACCCGCATGATCGTCGGCTTCGTCGCCAGCCTTCGATGTTTTTTGAAGTTGTTTAGCGAGATCGATCGGCATTCCTTGTCGATTTATCGGCCAGTTGACTCGAAAGTCTGCTTTCCGACCCATAACATCTCCTTTCGTGTCTCGAAGGAATACATGGTTGCATATTGGGGGCATTAACAGCATCGGCAGAATCGGAGGCAATCGTACGGTCTTGGGTAGATCGAAGTTCACTACACGTTGAGATTCAGGTAGAATTGTTATCTCTTCTTTTGACACCCGCTTGAATTCTTCCAATCTGAGAAGGAATGTCTCTTAGAATGGGCCCGACAAGTCTCGATGATTGTTGATTATGCCGATCTCATCATTCGTCAGGGAGTTCAAGATCAGACGAGGGTCCGACAGTAGAACCCAGGACCTACTTCGGCCAGAGCTGTTTGTGGCGCTTATTGCATTTCTTCTGTTCAACATCCGCCTCTGGCTTTTCCAAAACTAGCTCGACAGAGCTGGCCGTTCTCACTAACGCGTCGAGGAGCATCTCCAAATAATCAACTTTGCGCGAGTAAACTTCCCGGCTGGACTGTAAGGCGAATTTGTGAACTCGTCATTGCCGCATTATACGCATCGTACGCCATTGCATCATTGTACGCATTCAAAACGCAGCTTGCGAAATGCCCATTCGGGGATTAATGAGACGTCGCTACCGGCCTCCTCATCTCTCCGGACCCGTGACTGTCTCACACTGACCTGCAGAATGAGTCCAGCATGAAAGTAATTAACGCGATCCGACACAGCCTGCTTGAGTCTTTCGACATACTGGATAAGGGAATCCAGTTTCACCTGGAAGTTCTGGGTGAGGTCTCTAAGGGGTTTGATGTCTCCAGAGTATGCGGCCTCTATGTATTTTAGAGAGCTCGCATGCTCGTCCTCGGGACTGGTGCATCGCTCCGACGATAGCTGGAAAAGAGAGAATTCAAAGTTTTATTCCATAGCATGCGAAACCTTTTCTTGTCGAGCGGGGACGCCTTCTCCGACCGCCCAGAGGTACACGTCCGTACTAGGGGCTCATCCGATGAGTTTCTTAAGTGTTTGCTCCCGATTTTAGGTAATTGGCTAGTGATCTAGTTTCTAGTTCGATCTGTGAATGGCAAATGGATCCGAAGACCAACACTTCGTGACATTCCCGAAATTTCCATCATGAATAACGACTCTTGACCCATCTATCAAGCTGTCTGAGCCCCCGCGATTCTGCTCTATTCTGCTTAATGCCACGAAATACGCTATTCCACTAGAACATCCTGCGGTTGGTGCGGCTGTCAGACGTTGGCGCCAAACGGAGCAGCTGAGACCCGATTTGTTTTGTTATGGAATGCTTCGCTCAAAATCGAACGACTTCTGCGATTTTTATTCTGGAACTTCGCCGCCAGCACCCTGTTTTCCGCTCCAACCTATGCACAGATGAGTAAGGGATCGGGATATATTAAGCAACAACGAAGCCAAAATGGCGAGTATGAAGATCCCTTCATACTAGGTCAATGTGAGAAACTCACCCGCTTGGCTCGAGCCCGGCTTATGCCTCGGATTTTCGGCATGACGAGTGCGAACTCGTACGAAGGGAAAAAAGCCTACGTCAAATCAGTTTTCGCATAATTAACATCGAGCGAGAACGGCAACCCCATTAGAACACTACACGAACGTTTCGGGTGGCATAAGAGCAGACGACAACGCGCGGAAGTAAAATGGCGCCAACTACGCAGTCTGTGTGTGTGTACAGAAATTCAAAACAAGGAGAGAGGGACCTTCATTTTCCCGATATCGAAGAAGAGACGGCTGATGTGAGGCTCTATGTTTACCACATTTTCACCAGTTTCAGACTTCCTCGCAAGCGGCCTGCGTGGATAGCGGTGCCGGAAGGAAGAAGTCGGAGAACATTGAAGTTGACTCACGTCGGCGGAATCTCCCGAGGGAGCCGATTCTCCTGGCTAGATTTGGGTTCTTCGCAAGGTTCAAAGAGTCGTTCGAAAAGAAGGCAATCGACTGCATGTCAGTCCCATCTTCATGTGCTTGGGGAGAGTGGGAGGGAAACGATCCCTTCCGAGGAGTCTCTGTATGAATTCGATTCACGCAATCTCAATGCATTCACTATTCCTCGGATTCTTCAGGAACGGTGGTTCCGATCCCGATTCTGTTGAGCTTATTAGAAAGGCAGACTTTTTTCTCGCAAAACTTATATATTGAAATTCCTCCATGACTCCTGGGAGCCGAGATATCATCAATGGAAGGCCGAGGTCGTGAAATCCTGCAATGACCCAACATATACTTCGAGTAGCTGACTACCTGATGTAGCTCCTCCACGCTCTTTACTTCCCGCGGGCTCATCGCCATGATTTGGCGTTGCGCGGCGCATATGTGCCTCGTTGGCACGATCTGAGCGGCAACTGGCCTTCGAGGACCTCCTCAACATACCTTCTCCGCTTCGCCATCAGAGCGGCCATCGGAGCCTACTCTGGATCATTTCGGAGCGTTTTGATCCGATTCCCTCTCGCCGAGTAGACTGTGATCGCCAATCCGTCATTTTCCGGCACGGTGCGCCCCGATTTGAGCGCAGCTCCAATTGTGGCGTAGATCCAATTTTAGCGTACCCAGTTCGAGCGCGATCAATTTGCGCGCGATCAATTTGAGCGCGATCAATTTGAGTGCGATCAAGTTGAGCGCAGTCGATCTGAGCGCAGTTCCGCCTCGAGCGCACTCTGGTTGACCATGAAGCATGACTGTGAGACTGCGAGCGTCAGGCGATTCGAAAGCAGTTCAACGGTACATGGTAACTCGATGTTGGGCAAATCGATGCCATGACCTTCTTTGAGGCGCTGCTTCCCGAGGGTTGTTCGGCTATGAACCCAATTGAGGCTCTACTGAGGTTGGGGTGCCCGGCGCCCTAACCTAGGCCCGCCTCCACGCATTCTGAATGGGGTTCAATTCACTCACAGTGACTCAGTCAGTTTCCAAGACTGCTCGCTACCGCTCGCCCGGGCACCAACCCAACCTAACCGATCGCCACGATGCATCTGCTTTCGGAACCATTGTACACGGACTCCCAAAGCTAGACGACGGTTCCCGAACCGTGTCGTGCTCGATCATTTTTTCCTTTAACACCTTCAGCACCAACTCTTGCTTTGCCCGGGATAGAGAATAGGGTTTCCTGCATACCGGAGTAGGATCGCTCAAAACGAATGGGACAGCGAATTTCCTCGCTAGCTCCGGATAGGGACTCTGAGATATCGCTCCCGGGGAATATTTTTGTATATCCCCCATACTTCGGATTTCGAACGACTCGAAAGGATGCTTGACACGAGCTTCCGCTCTCAACGAAATCCTCTCCTCATAATTGCACCAGAAAGATATCGTGTCATCATGATGCAAATTGATCTTGAATTCTTTCATGGCATTGCGGGAGAGAAGCATTTTATACCTGGCACCTTCAACGACCAGGAAACGAAGCGTTTTCGCCTCATTACCCGCTCGAATCTGCATGTCACACCATTCCGAAAATTTCCGCGCACTCCTGCGGTAGTCCTCGACCTCGATGCTGTGCCCAATACGGGTCTTGCGTTCCCCAACCGTCTTCGGATTCACAGTCGAAACCGAGGCACCGGAGTCCACCACTGCCTGTACGATCCGATTGCCATCCACAGTTACCGCGACCCCAGGCAACTTCGAGCTGGTCGCGAGAATTGTTCCTTTCGACGAATCGGGGCATCCAAAGCTTGCCGTGATATCCGCTCTCAAGCAGGATGGTTGTCACATACGAGCGAGCCGTATGGTGATCGAGTCGGGGAAGCCAGCTAATTAATTGAAATGTGTATATGACTACTAGTACATGCATCATAGTAGTATGCATCATTCTTTTGGAGAATAAATTCGCGCCACAGAGAGGGTTACGCGGAACAGAGTTCAGGAGAGGAGGGAAGAGAGATAACAACATTGCAAGTTGCTCCTCGGTCCGGTCGTTCCCAAGAACCGGAAAACTCGAAAAGGGATTTTGTTCATTCAAGCCCTGCGTGTCACACCCTCTCCGAAGCGCATCTGTGAAACCGAACTTCAGTGTCTTCATTAGAGCTTAGAAGTTCAGGCATTTAAAAAACGGCAAAATAGGCACTGAAAATAGGCGAAATAGGCATTCGAAATAGACAGAATAGGCGATGGTTAAGGCAGAGTAGGCAAAATATAGGCGAAATAGGCGGAAATCAGGCAGAAAAGGCATTCGATCTTGCAGAAGAGGCATTCGATATAGGCGCTGTTTAGGAAGAGGAGGCTCGCGAAACAGTGGGGAACTTCGGCAAAGTATAGGCGAAACGGGAATCGGAAGTATGATCAGAGGACAGGATAGACATCAGGGATCCCGACGAGAGCATTCGGAGAACATTCGTATTGGGAAAACTGGAATCGCGAATCTTTTCAGATTATAGGAAGACTCTCGTTTATTCCCTCGTGACCGCACATATTAGTATTGATCATCGTTACGGATCGATTAAGAGTCCCGTCCGAAATTGTTACACATCGTGATCAAATGGAATTTCGCGTTTTCAACTGTCAGAGAGTGTCTCCGATCTGATAGGAGGTTTTTATAAGTCGAGAATGACCTTTCGACATCTACACTCACTATCGGAGCGTATCTGAAACTTGCTAGCTCCTCTATCGAGAAATCCGTCAAGCTGATATGGCCGCCCTGGTGCGAACTCTCGATCTCGCACATGATGCTCAAACCCGGATTTGAATGTAGGATTCGTTGGAACTTCTCTTTTATCGGAGACGCTCTTGACCCAGCGATGGCTCCAACGCAACGCTCTATGTCTCTAAGCAAGGACACCGTATCGTGGAGTGGCTGCGACGTGTCCTCGAGCATTTTGATGAATACCGGGAAATTCGCGAAGTTAGTTGCAATAAACGCCAAATCCGACGGGAGTCTGGAGTCGCGCATGATGTTTTGGGATTCAGCAATCGCTACCGCTCCCGAGCTGTCGAGCTGGTTGACGACCTCACGAACGACTTCGAAGTGCGTTGCATAATATAGGGCCGCCGTGAGCCAGGTCCCCCAGCGAGTAATCACTGGCTCTGGAGGTAGGGCTACGTTTGGAGCAATGGATCGGAAGGTGTGAATTCTGGCTGGAGCTTTCAGAAACACTTTCTTGACGTTCGCGATGAGGCTGTCCACTCTCGGAAACAGGCCGCGGATCTCCTCACACAGTCGGTGAATACCATGAGCGAGGCACGTAACATGAATTAGCTTCGGAAATAGAACCCTGAGAGCCTCCCCGGCTTTTTTCATATAGGAAGCAGCGTCGCTGACGCAGAGCAACACCCGGTCGTGGTGCACGCCGTCAGGCCATAAGATAACAAGAGCATTCATGAATGCTTGCGCAACGGTCGTATGGTTAGTTCTGTCCACGATCTCGGAATTGATCAGGAACGGAAACGACGGCCTCTGTGCATTGAGACAACCGATGACGGTGTTCACGACGAATTGACCCTTCACATCAGTGGTCTCATCAATTGAGATCCAGATCCTGTCTTGTCCGATGGAAGACCTGATCTTCTCGATGGTTTCTTGATAAAGCTTAACGAGATACGTCTTCCGCAAGGTCGTGTGATTGGGAACCTCATTCTTGCAGTACTTTTGCATGAAGTTTGCGAATGACGAGTGCTGGACTTTGAAGAGGGGAATGTTGGATTCGACCATCATTCGGCACAGATCGAAGCTAAAGCCGCTCTCTCTTTGTGATAGACTCAATGACAAACTTCGTTCTTCGATGAGACTCTGCCTGGCTTCGAGACGACGCGCGTGTCCCGAGCCGTTGATGTGCTGCTGCACGTAGTACTTCTTTGTCGCGTTAACGGGTTTCCCGCACACTTCACATGTCAAGACTTCTCCATCGGTGCTGAAGCAGTCGGGTCCGAAATCAGTGACATATTGCACTTCAACAGCACTTCTCGGCATTTCGGGTAGGAGTGGATTCTTCTAATTGCTTCTGACACTCAGCGTACTCGGTCAACGTCGGGAGCCGAATGATCAATGATTTAGAAAATCAGACGGGGAACTCGATGTGTCGCATTGGGCTGGCGTGGAAAACAAGGAATGTGACAGCATATTCCCTAGACTCTAGAGTGATTCTCGATGGAGTTCTCGACTCGAATATCTGCATCCGAGTGGGTAATTCTGAATTGGCTCGAATTTCCGAGCTGAGATAGACGAACGTCCGAAGATGGGATCACTTCTGTCCGGGCGAGGCTGCCTCAGAGAGGAGTTTTCACGGATGTGAATTATGACAAATTGACAGCAGCGAGATAGGAGCCTTCGAGTCGATACACGACATTTCCAGCCGGAATGGACCTCTGAGCAGGACGGAATGATATCAGGCGAAAAAATATGTCCCAGGCAGCAAAAATAGGCATTCTGAGCAGAAAAAGAGACATTTCAGGCACGAATAGGCATCTTAGGCCCGAATAGGCATTTCAGGCCAAGAAAAGGCCTCTCAGGCCAAGAAAAGGCACATCAGGCTCTTCAGGCACCTCAGGCGTTATAGGCATTTCGGGCATATTGCCTGAGTTTCGAAGCTCTGGTCTTCATTCATCGTAGTTTCGAGGGGTCGATCCGTTACAATGGTGACGAATTGTGGACCACTCTGGAAAAATCACCCGAAATGGAGCTCAGTACTCTTGTCAGGAGTAAGCTTCCGAAAAAGACAACGGAAGATATGATTTCTGCAGGGGAACTTCGTGTGAATGTCCCGTCCGCCGAGATTCTAAGAATCCTGGATGGCATCCCTCAGGGAGGGGGTTGTTCTGAAGGCTCAGGTGACGTGACACAAACTTCGAGATCTACTAAGGATTCTACCGGACCCACCAACGTGTCCAACGAGGATAGGTTTCCAGATAAATTACAGCAATTCGCGAAGCTCTTGGTCAAAGAGATTGTCGCAGCAGGTTCGCTCCAGCGAGTTAAAGCAAGACCTCCCGTCAATGGGCCGTAATTTGAAGAATCTCATATCTTCCCGAGGCGCGGCATCAGAGTCCTGTCGGCGTGCATGCTTCCGCTGCATGCTTCCGACTAGAGCCTCCAATATCAGAAAGGGCATCCACTGAGCATCTATGAACTTTGAATCGCTGACGACGACCACTATGAAAGCCTTTCCATTCCGAGGTTCACCGAAGTCTAGATGCACCCTGGACCATGGCCGTCGGCGGAAAAGCCTAAGAGATACTTTAAGAGGGGCGGATTTGGAGACACCGATGACAAGCTTCGACACAACTTCCGATGTCTGCTGTCATACCCGGCTAGGAGAATAGCGAATGAGCGAGAGCTTTCATCTTCCGAATACCGGGATGGGTCTTTTGCAGTTTTTATAGGATGACTCCTCTGAGGGAGGCTGGGACCACCGCCCGCTCCCCAGACAGAACAACGCCTTTCGAACAGCGCAAAGCATCGGCAAGAACCGCGAAAGGACGCAACAGGATCTTCCTTGTCGGCAGACGACCAACTGAATTTCGAACGTTTCACTACTTTGGAAAGAACCGGATCTGCGGAAAGGACTGAAAATTATTATCATTGATATTGCCCCTACTTATCGAGAGCCATTATCAGACGCGAGCCCAGCTTTTTCCCTGGGATGGGCCTCGTGGAGTTTGGGTTGGGGGGCAAGACCTGAAAATGATGTCGCGCGTCTCCGCGGCCTATTCCTTAGCATAGGGTACGAAAAACTTGGGGGGGGGGGCATAGCCACTTCGGCCCCTTCCACTGGGTACGCTACTGGTCATGATTCTTGATCACGGTGAGCCGGGCCTGATGCTGGACTCATCAAAGATCTGAGCAATTGACGTCCCTGAGTCAGTATGCCATTCTGCACGCATGAGAGCTTCTAAACATGATATTCTGTAACTCGAGGAGCAGAAATCCGGGCATCAATCGCTTGTTGTTCGACTCTTCGTCATGGTCTGTATTAGAGCTCTCAACGAATGCGATTACACTGTTCCCCATAAAGCGACATGCTCATGAATTTCGCGTCGGAGATGATCTGTCTGTGTCTTTGCCTCTTTGAGTTGTCAAAAACCCCCGTTCTATCGGCAACACGATTCGGCCGAAGCTATCGACAAAGTGGACAATATTCGTATTAGGTCACACAGGCCGAATCGCAATGTCCGTAGGGTGGAATTTCCCCCGCAGCGATTCAGTGGGGGAAAACTTCATTCTCTGCCAGGCCGCAAATATTCTCCAAGGTATGCCGCCGATTTATCGTCGCCCGATGGATTGAAGATCACAGTTGAAGCGCGACTCTCGCTGAAATTACCGCCTCTTGCCAAGCGGGGAAGAAGTCAGAGATCATCGGAACCGTTCGCTCCGGTCGATGTAGACTGTGGAGGAATGCCTCGGTGAATTGCTACTCCGCTTTAAGTTCCATTTCTCGAGGGAGAACTTTCCAAACAGTACAGCCGTGAGAGCCGGAATTCACATCTCTTAAACCGTGACACCGGCCTCCGTCGAGCGCTTTTTCGTAGAGGTCCTGTGGAGTTCATTCGAACGATGTCAGACCGGTAGCGAATCTCGAGTGAACACATGGGAGTTCTCGTGACGTCGAACGCGATCGAAAACTTCATGCAGTTCATCGTGTACCCGACTTCCGATCTGGTAATGAGTGCTCTGGACTTCTCTATAGAGTACTTCGTACTTGACGGTATACAGAGATCTCTAGACGACCGAGTCATTGTTTTGAACAGTGATCGAACGTATTTCGCGCGTATTGTGCGGACCGGTCGGACGTGTAGAAACTGCGTACACTGCCGCACACTCTGGTCAGATGGAGAGTGAAGCGCACATGGAGCAACGTTCATTCGACTTCTGGGAACAGTCGCAGGATTTCTATTTCAATCCGTCAGAGAAGCTCCACGATCAATTCTCTAAAAAGGCTCAGAGTTCTCAAACTCGCATCCAGCTTCTGAATTGAAATCATATACCACGGAATGATTATGACCGCAGTCCACGTGCCTGCCTCGCTCCAATGATTCCATACCAAGATGAAGTTCCTTCCTTTCAGCCGATCTCAGCCATGCGTGGTGGTGGTGCGCGAGCGGTTCGTGGAGCAGATGATGTTTTCTGGCGAGGAGGAAGGTTATGAACTTTCGCGGAAAGTCATCAATAGGGAAGCGCCTAACGCTCAATACAACGTCAGCAAATGTTCCCGATTCTCCTCAACCGTACATCACATGATTGCCAGGCGTTCAAAGTTCGCGGACCGTTCCCTTGGTCGCAATGACGGCTCCGAAGCTCGTGCTGGTGTTCAGCGGCAAGCGAAAATCTGGGAAAGATCATCTCACAGATGTACTGCTCAGATCAGCTCCGGAGAGCTCAGCGGTCATCATCAGACTCTCTGGACCGTTGAAGGAAGCTTACGCCAAAGAGCACGGGCTCGACTTCTCACGGCTCCTGGATGCCTCAGAGTACAAAGAAAAGTATCGCTCCGATATGGTCGCGTGGGGTGAGAAACAACGCCAGATAAACCCGGCGTTCTTCTGTGAATTGGCCGTAGAAAAGTATCAGGCTGACAAAGTCCCCATCTGGATCGTGAGCGATGCCAGGCGACCGACCGACATCGAGTATTTTGTGAAAAAATTTCCTGGACGAACCGCGCTTTGTAGAATCGTCGCAGACGATTCTGTGCGGAGACAGCGAGGCTGGGAGTATGTCAGTGGAGTAGATGACCAGGAGACTGAGTGCGCTCTGGATGAGTACATAAGTTGGGATATAATTTTGAACAACGACGGCGAGATGCCTCTTGAGAAGCTCCTGAAGCCCTGTCTCGATCTCATTAGGCAAGCTGTAGAGTAACCAATTGATAGACGGATAATCGAAAGGCAACGACGGTATCACTCACAGAGTGTAAGTCTCCGTATCCATGCAATTTTGAGAGAGATTCTTGGAGAGATACATATACATGTTAATTTGTACCTTTCCGTTCTAAATACATACCGTACCTCCAGTCATGGCGATTATTACGTTTGGAAAAAATCTTTTGATAATGATCGAGGGTCGACTCATACTGGTAAGAATGTACGCCCTGTGAGGAGTGAGCCGAATCCCACTCTTAATCAGCTATAGGTCCGACTCATGATGGAGAAGCCTTCGTCTTCAGTGATTAGACTTCTCACGGGAATAGGAGGATGTAGTTCGTCAGACGCGTGGGTTTCCCATCGGGAGTTCTTCGTCTGGTCCGCGCACATCGAACGAGAAAAAGAGGAACTCGACGACGGGGTGCAACCAAAACTGCCGCTCCTCGGAGAACCCATTTTTGTCGATATGTAATTAATTACTAATTATGTAAATCGCGGGATTCTAATGTAACGAGATGATAGTAATATACTAATTTGCGAGAATAGATTTCCGCTGGTGTTTGTTTGGGAGTAATTTTTACCGGTATGAAGATGAATAAATTGAGTACAGCGTCTCAATCTATTCATGGTCTTGAGTTCTGGACCCCCAAGCTCACATGAGACGAGCAATTACTAATCGTAAGAGAAATTGTTTCAATGAGACAATTTGTTCTCATTTATTGACTTCAATCAGGCACAGAACACTTTCCCGTGGTAGCCGTGACCGTAACCGAGGCCGTATCCTCCAACCTTCCTGTAACCGATTCCTACTCCGTGTTGGATCTTGGCTTTTATTAGACGAAGCCGACGAAGGGAACGGGACGCAACGGGGCCGCGTTTTTTGCTTCTCCGTAAAACTCATACGGATTCCCGCCGTTAGACTTTTCTGGCCAGAAAACCAGAGTGGAAGGTTCTCGCCAGGCCGAAATTCGGAAATGGTGTTGGTAGTTTCAAGAGCTGAAGCTGGGCTTTTTTCTCCTGTTTTTGCTTCTCGTAGGGGACTCACCCGTCAGCGCTCAGAATCATTGTCGCTCACATGAGAATGACAATCTATGGCTCATGGAGATCTTTTGGATGCCCCAGAAAATCTCAAGCTCGGCTCCTTTAGAATCTCCGCTCTAGGTCGTGTGCGAGGCTCACTTATATACCTACTGATGCATCCGTCGCGGGTGATTCTGCACCCCGTCGTCTTCATTCTCCAAATGATGACTATCGCTTAAAGCTTGAGTGAGCATATGTAGCGCACATTTTCATTCTCACACGGAGCCTCTCTTCGAAAGCCGGAGAAATCCTCTTGAGATTCCGTGGTAGCACCTCCCCGACCGAATAATCGCCCCCATTTCTTCTTATTTTCTACACATTGATTGTTCTCAAGTCACCGCGCATATCACACTTTTTATTCTATATTTATGAACTGTTCTCACATCACCGCGCCGATAGCTAAATGTTCCCTGACTAAAGCGTCAATAGTGTTGTTCGCCACGATCAGAGAGGCGGCTCGTAGAACGGCGCATCGTCGTACAAAACGTGGTGAACGCAGTCCCTGTCAGTGGCGACCTAGCGGTTTCCAGGCAGTGATCCGTCCAGGTTCGTCTGAGTTTTCAGATGACGATCAGATCAACGATTTGAAAATGCCGATATCAAGGATCACCACGGACTGTGATTTGGTATAGTCGAAGACGATAGCCTCCGGCAGATAACTCCCACAGAATGAAACAACTCGCTAAGCTCCGGGAGAGTGGGCACCGAGTTCTCCGCAGAACTTTCATCCTTCTCACCCAAGTCGGCTTAATTTGTATTTCCGCGACTACGGTGCGAGAAACGTTAGATAAGATCGTGTTTTAGAATTCTTTGGGGGCCCTTCCTGCTTCTTCCAATCGTCGACTCTCAACTAGGCTTTGCAATTTGCGGTTTTGAAGGTATCTGATGACCAGAGAAGCGCTATAATCCGCCTTAGAACCGCGGTTTCGAGGCGGTTCCAGGAGGATTCCAGGAGAACGGCTGGCCTGATGAGATCCATTCAAGTTTCATCTGATGCGTTTCGCCGAGAGCCATCGGTTGAGAAGACGAATCAATCGTTTCGGCCTATTATAGCTTCTCTCTCGAAAATGGTATCGGGGCCTTGTAATTGTGACCGTTACGTTTTGATTGGTCAAGCTGAGGGAATCTTCCTCTGAGACCTGAGAAGTTACGTTCCGCATCTCGATTCCACAGCCGAGGCATGAGCCGAATCGGAAATTCGGTCAGAAATTAAGATCAGAAAGAATGCCCGAAATTTCAAGGGCCTCAGAAAAATGTAGTCCCTCTCTGAAGTCGACCTTCCGCCGGATTGCCATCTTGTCGAGACGGAATCCATGCTTTTCTCCAGATTCAAAATGTAGTTGATTGAATGCTCGGAGGTATGATCAGATGTTCATCATAACCACCGAATGAGGGCTCCGCTCTTCTCTGATAATACTTCCGATTTTCTACTCAGGTCGACATTCCGTGTAGCGATTCCGAAGCTGGAAACTGTGGTCAGCCTGCTTTCGGGAATGGATGATGACTCCTTCCATCATTCTGATGCAATGATTGCTTCTGCTCGTCGAAAGCAGATGAGGGGAACCCCAGGGGCGTCACTGGAGCGCTGCATGCGTAGTGTGAACCCGGACTGGGTGCCAGTTATTTCTATCACTTTGTGGTCTCCCCTGATGAAACCGGTGTGCCTAACGGAACATCCATGAGGTATCCGTACCGAGCACTACACCGACTCGACAAGGTGGAAGATAAGGGGGTGACTGTCGAAAAGATTCATCGAATGATTATAATCACCACTATAATTATCGTCGAGGAAGTTACTAGTTTCGATTGAGGCCGGTCATACGGCCGTGGAGAACAGCGAGCACAGCGGTTTGATGATTTTGAAATTATCTCACATCAAGAGTCAAGCCCGCCTGAAACGGCTTAGCGCGTCCACGACTCCAGATCAGAGAAGGTCCGGGATATATCGAACCCCTAGCATCCTGATTCACAATCCAATGTTTGAGAACGTCATCGAGATGCCGCACCCGGCCGACGAAACGTTTTTTCTCTTCATTCATGAAGTGTTTAAATAGAACAAGGAGACAGGAAGTGGGCAGCAGCCTCGACTGTGACTAAAAACAAAGCGTCGAAATTAACTCTAACAAACAAAATTCGTATTTGTTCTCGTTCAAGCGAAGTTCACTCAAGAGTGACGGTCGAAGGCACGACTCACGAGTACAACATTGCTGCGGTTCGGGATTATGCTGATCTTGGGGCCAAGTAGAGTCTGCGGCTACCAGAGAGGGAGTGCTTCAGTGTTTCCTATCATTCAATTCCGCCGAGCATGGCTACGACCACCTCGGCTCCCCCTCCTCGTGGAGGGCGTCTATTCTCTGCAGCAGCGCATCATCCTCAAAGCGACAACGGGAAGCCGTCTCCGTAACGACGAGCGGATTCCCATTCTTCAGCAAAATATCGCGTTGAGGAGATCATCTTCAATCGACCCGTGAGAGTGCCTGAATGTTTCTTTCCAGCCATCCAGAATAGTGAGATGATGTACTTATATGTCCTCCGAAAGCTTGGAGACTGGAATTTGTCTCTCCGGAACCACATGGTTCGAAAAGCTTTTGAGGCGCTAAGGGGTCTCGCTCGATTTCTCGCAACCGAAACCCCTGATCTAGGAGCTCTCTTCCACTGAATTGTGCCTTTGGCATTGTCGCTGACTCCTAGCGGATGTCACGCACTTTTCTCATTTCCTTCTCCATACTTCTCCCTCTTCGCCGACAGATAAGACAGCGAGTGCCGCGCAATGGAGAACTCGTTGCATGCCGACTGCGAGAGCACGAACGAGCACAGGACTTAGCGAGCAAGCCACAAATCGACAGACGGGAGAAGCCGAGCGCCAATGCATCTGATCAATACGTCGTGCCAGGCCATGGCTGGCTAGATTCCAAAGAACTCGTCACATGGACTTCGTATTTCTTCCCTTCTCGCTCGTCTCCGTCCCATCTGCTCTCCTGTACGTCCTTTCTCCGTTCCAATAAAGAGCAGAGCCTTGAGCTTCGATCTTCCAAGACTGGCGTGCCGCCACTCGGTCTACGGAACATTTCCAGCGTCGTCCCACCTTCCCGGTATCTATGAACGCACCCCCTTCACCGATTTGAGCCCGATATACGAAAACACTAATCGGCAGGAATAGATGAGCTCCACGGAACTTCGTTCATCAGCATATGGAACATCGAGTGCGGAGAATCCCGCTGAGAGACCACGCGTTTGACTGCATGGCTCCGAGAGACGAAACTGCTTTTCTTTCGATCCGGTAAAACGGAATGATAAAACTGTGTTGATCAAAGCCCCAAGCAGAGTGATTCATCGAGTTGATGCTTGACGGTGATCGCTGGAAGATTCGCAGACCGCTAACAATCTTCCCTTTTAGCAGCTTGTACCAAAAATCAGCGTAAGAACATCGTAAAACCTTGCAGTGCTCGTGCACAGACGTGTTTCGGCCGTCTGTTTGATTGCCGCCGGGCGAATGGAGTTCAGCCGAGCAAAGCAGAAAACAAATGAACAAACCATTTTATTTACAAGCGACCGGGGCTTTATTTTGAAAGATGCAGGACCGTTCCGAAAGGGAATACATCTGAAAGAGACCCAGAGCATCGGCGATGCGGCATGAAAGGATTTTGGGAGAAAATCTATCTGGGGATTTGACCGACAAAGCTTCGACGCCGATTTTTCTAAATTCATTGTCGCATAATCGAAAGAGGATTCAGTCGAGCTTGGCTCTATCCTCTGCCCGGGGTTTTAGTATAGTAGTCCGTGGCCACCATGGAGGCCGTAAGCGGCCACGCCATGGCCGTATCCCGATTCATGGCCGTATCCTAATCCATGGCCGTATCCCAATCCATGACCGTATCCGAGTACCGAACCGTGGCCGTATCCGAGACCGTGGCTGACGGGATAAACCTGATGGCGGTAAACATGACTCGATCCATAATACGGATGATGGACGTGCGAGCCATACGAGCTTATTCGAGCCCCGTATCCGGCGAAAGCTGTCACTGCGAGAGTGCTGACCAAGACCGCGATAATCGCCTGCGAAGTTTTTGTTTGATATCAATGTAGCAAGTCATGCGGGAGAAGAGCTCGGGAATAACATGAAACTTTCCGTAAGAGGGAAAATCCGAGTCCCGCCTTGGATCTGCTGAAAAGGAATCAGAGCCCTGAATGTGCTCCGCTACTCACCGTGAAATTCATGCTCAGGCCGCGGAGCTCGAGTTCCCGAGAGTTCGTTGCTCGAGTGTGTGGTTTACTGAATGAAATTCGCTTGAGGGTGTGTCTGTTTCAAGCGGAAACCGAGCAGGGTCCCGGAGGGAAAGTGGAACAAAAAACAGCAAAGTTGAAAGCTGCAGACTTGACATTCATTTTTTCCTCCGGCTCAGATTGGCAGCCCGACGACCTCACTGTCCAACAATGCTTTCTGGTCTATGGCTCGTTGTTCTGTCGCTGCCGTTATCCTTCTCCCCGCTTCTTTCTGCGTTTGAGTAGTTAGCATTGCCAGGAAAACGCAAGAAAATTGAGCCACGGCTTCTGCTGGGGCATTACATAAGCGCTCAGAAGTTTTTGAATGTCAAGAGGAGGTCGTCATTCAATCAGACGCGAGAGTTTGAGCTTCAAATGGTGGAGCTATACTTTCTATTTTCGAATTGAATGCGTTTATTACCAGTTAGATGGTGTGTTGAGAGATGTATGAAATGTACAATACAATGGCATCGTATATACAGCACTTCGTGGATACTTTCTAGTTTCTCCCGCCACGGCTCTTTAGGAGCCGGAGAGCACTGACGGTTGGTAGGGTCCCGAGTCCCCGAATCGCTTTCCCCCTGCTCACGGATTTTTCCCAGACCAGACAGGACAAGAACGTGAACTTTCTTCTGTTTGCTGATGATATCTCGGGATTTTCAGCGAACTTCATCTACGAGATCATCATCGATGCAAAGGCTCTTCTCTGATCTGTGCTGATTCATGGATATCAATCCTGGAGGCTTGGAGCCCTACGAGCACTCACAGCATAGAGCCGAAGGAACTTCCGCTTTCGAATTGCTTGATGGACTCACAGCATTTCGCATGAGGTAGACCGATGCGCTCCCGGTTTTCCCGTCTTATCCGCTTCAGATCGCTCATCGCATTCGGCATTCGGATTGATATTATTTTATGTTGAGTTTTCCCCACAGTTTTCTTCTAGAGTCATAGAAGCTCCGCTCAGCCTGAAATGAGCTTGCACCGCGCCTGAATTGGGGGAGGATTCATTCGGGGAGTCGGGTCATAACCTGACCGTTATCATAACCTATCTGTGCCGAGTGAATAGAGAGGTCCTTTTTTTCTTCAATTCCCTAGCATTTGAATGCTGTTGAAAAGGCTGCGGGAGGGATCCGATTTATCAACGCGGGACCCTCCGGTGCGATTTTCGCGAGTGAACTCCTCCCTCAAGCCCCGGGGGGTTCCTTAGATTCGACAAGTGCTCAGCAGAAGCATAAGAGTGATCTTTCAGGAAATTTAAATTTCCATCGTCTGGGGAAATTTCTGATGGAGATAGAAGGGATGACTCGAGGTCACCGGAATCGGCTCGCCTTCGAACGTGGTTTCCGAGCAGGCATCTCGGGGCGGCGACCCATGTTCTCGCGCCAGAGTGGCCCGCGTTGGCGGCGTGTGCCAAGCGCGGTTCGCCCTCGCTGTTCAACTCGATCCGGACTTGGAGCCAATTCAAGTACTGGTGTTTTCACGAATTAGTGGCATTCGAACGATCCCCGAAAAGCTTGGAGTTCCCATGGGACAAAAGAGTTTCAGAATGAGGAAGAGAAGCCGAGGCCGAAAGAGCTAGCGCTTCATTCTTGCGGCTTGATTTGAACTCGCCTCGATGCCATCCCAAGGTCTGTGCTAGAGGCGAATCGCTAGCGTACGAGTCGTCCCCACAGAGACTGAAGTTCTCATCGCATGCAGGAATTCTATAAATAGGTACAAAGAAAGACTGCGCGGCGGTGTTCGAGGTTTCCGTGAGCCGCTTCTTCGAGTGGCGGGCGTTCATTTCCTCTACCCAACGCTGGAGGATCGGATCCCTTGGCAACGCAGCATCCACCGTCGTTAGGTTTCGCCAGTGGTTCCTCCTACCTACTTTGTATTTAACCCGGTTTATGAATTCAATTCCATCGATTTCACCGCTATCCAGGAGTTCCCAGGAGTGTTCGAGGATCATCCTGTTGTCCTTGGTGGCGCGACTTGGTTTGGACAGCAGATTCGTTTTACCAATCTCTTGACTCACTCGATCGACGGCTGCATTCTGCAGCAAACCCATGCGGACGGAAATGATGTTCCAGACGGTCCCATGCGAGCGGCGAGCCTGGCGCAACAGTTTGGCGTTGTGACTTTCGACGTCATTGTTGGTCCTCCGGACCAACCCATGGACCGAGAGGTTCCCGGGACCAACCGTGTTGAGCCAGTAGGACTCCACATATTTGAGAAACTTCGGGAATCCAGCATGGGACAACCGCGCTTGTTCGGAAAAGTACTCGAAAGTAGGTACTTACGATTAGGGGCGCTGGAAGAAGAGGCAACGCTAGAAAAGACAGGAATATCGAGGATCCTAGCCGCTGCGTAGGCACGCAATCAAGTCAATGTTCCCATACCCTCCATCTTCGAACATCTCGCGGGAGGCCAAGTGATCGCAGCATGAAAGAGGCATACCCGACACAATTAGGCTCGAAATGATTCTGTTTGCTTTGGACTTGGTGGAGGCGGGCAGCGTTTTTCGCTTGTGGGTCGAGATGTGATTCCTCAAGACGTTAGTGCTACTCCTCGCAGTTTTGAAATTCTCTTGTCACATTTCAAACACGCGCCTGATCCCAGTTTGCCTTCACGGTCGGTCTCCAGCTCGAACCAATCGCCTACTGAACGGAGAAAACAAAAGCTCATATACAGCAAATCTCATAAGTTTCGACACTCGACATGTTCACCCCCTCAAGATAGTGTTTCGGTCCACGACTAGGGCTCCACATGAATTCAGAACCTTTCCAGCTTACATTTTTCGATGCAAGGTCCATTTGTTGTGGTCAGTGAGACGGTTTTCAATTCCCATCTACCCGATTGCGGTCGATCGGCCGTGGTCATCCTTACAGTGCCAGAATCCATTGATCATCCATGACTGACGAGTTGCGAGTGGGCGAGTTGCGCAGCTTCGTCATCCACAAGAAGTTAACGAAAGGAAGACAAAGGAACATTTCCCCGCCCGGGGACTCGAACGGTAGACGGTAACTGGTGGCCCTAACTCTGCGGAGGCGCTAGGCTTGAATCTTGAATCGCTGCGAAGATTCTCCTCGGCTACACAACCGAAAGCCGAAAGCGACGAGGAAACCAAGATGCAAGGCAGGAATATGTGGGAGGACTTTCGGTATTCCTCTGCAAGACTCTACGGTACTAGTGGCTCGGGGTAGTCCCATGAATTGACTCCGTCCGCATCGAATCTGCTCCCTATCATGACTGATGTTTGAATGAAGAGGCATGGACCAAGGGTTGATTCCGGAACTGCTTCTCGATTATATCACCGGACTGCGACCGATCGTCGAACTTCTGAGCCCTGTGCATCACCGAGGACCGATTCCGCTTCTGTGTGAACTGCATGCCAGTCTAGGTGGATGGGTCTTCAGAAACATATGTGTTTGTTGGCGACGGAGATCGATCAACAGCAGGAACAACATTAGACGCGACAGCAACTCCTGGGTTGATGGAATTTATGACTGTGAATTGCGACACCGTGTGAGGGAATCGGAGGTCTTGCCCAAGAGATGTTGTCCTTCTTGACTTCTTGAGTATCATTTGGGCGGAGTCGCAGGTAGAATCGTGCCCGAATGGAGTGCGTACCCGGCGTGCAATCAGCCTACTCGGCGTGGAATCGGCGCAGAAGGCGTACGATCAAGGTTTACTGCTTGCGATCGGCGTGCACGGCTTACAATAGGCGTAAGCGGCGTACGTGGCGTACGATCGGCTAACCGGGCTTACAATCGGCATACACGGCATACAATCGGCGTAAAATCGGCGTACACGGCGTACATTCGGCGCATGGTTGGTATTAGGCATGGTTCCCGTTCAAACAGGAAAATACAGCCCGTTTCTCTTTGGCCCGTTCAAGAACGGCTCAAAAAAAACGGGTTCCTTTTTTGTGCGGAAGGGTTCCTCAACGATAGAGAAGAGAGAAGGGGCATAACCAGAGGCCTCGTACGGGGACGAAACGGTGTCAGGACGACATCCCGCTCTTCCTCGACCTATATGAATACTGTGAGGAAATTGTTTTGATATCGCTCGATTTTTCCGCAGAACTCCCCAACCCCGTGTAGGTTTCATCAGGAGCCTTCTCTGGAGCTTGGAGTGATCATTAGAATATGATTCAATGACTCGCAGACAGAATTCAGGTCCCTCATGTATGAGTGAATGATCAGGAAATCTGGCGGTACTTCGTCTCTTTCAGTATCCCAGTCACCCGATTGGCCATCCCTAAGTCGCCAATATGGCGCCTATGATATTTTTCCGGGGTGGCTAATCTGGCGGGTTGTTCACATGCGCTGCAAGCGATGCGCGTTGGACGATTGGCCCTCTAGTATGATCAGGCGTTGGATATATGCGTAGAAAGACTAAGTTACATGAAGAAACGGGGTTTCCGTAAGGGTTACGCGCTACAAAGGAATCGGTAGGCCCTGTTTCGGGGTCCGCCGGAGGAATCATGCGACGGGCGATGGCACGCTTACAGCTCACATCTGCTTCCAAATCCAAATGCTTCCGATTCCGGAGTTATAAGGCGAATTCCTGAACTCGAGACCGTCTGTCTGAATATCTCCTGGGAAGCGGAAGCGGTGATAGATAGGGGAGGAGAGATGGAGATTCAGAGGAGAAATGATTCTACTCGAGAAGCCCCACTTGCTACTTGAGCTTCTCCAACATCCTCTTCCGTATCCTCCCGTTTTCCGTTAGGGTTCGCCACTTTTTCGATGGAGTCGGTACCCAACTGTCCGGACCCGCGCAGGTTTTTGCTTGACCCGTGTGCTGGCTTAGTTGCGCGTGCGTCGTATGCAGCGTTGCGCCGCAGTGACGCTGCCACCGTCGGGTAGATTCCGGGTTCGATCCCCGGGGTCGGCAGATCTCTCTTGTTAGGAATTGAGGTTCCCACCGATAAGTGAGGCAAGTCGGGGTTTTCTCGAGGAAGCAATAGC